TTTCTATCTCGACTTGAAGTATAAAGTCAACCTTTCTGAAAGCACGTGTTATATACATAGATGTTATGCCAATGTACTTCTCTTCATTTATGTTCACAATCCAGTCTGTTGGAAACTTAAACGTTACTCTGTTCCCCTTTATTTTGACGTCAGGGTTTTCACTACTGAACGCAACAGATAAAGGTATTTGTCTATACATTTAATTCGGATAAAAATAAACCATTTACTCTTTCTTTGCTTCAGCTTCTTTAGCTTTTGCTTCAGCTTCTTCTCTAGCTTTTTTCGCCAGTAGTCTTGGGTTCTTTTGTCTTCCAGCAGCTAATGCAGCAAGTTGTTTTTCACTAAGTTTTCTCTTTGGTCTCTCTGGCTTTTGTTCTTGTTTTTGTTCCTTCAGTTCGGATAAAATTTGCTCACGAATTTCTTTCTTCAATGCTTCAACATCTATGACCCCTTGGGTCTTGTCCGTGGGGCTTGTCTGAGTCATTTGACTGCAGATAAAAAACAAAATTAAAACTTTAACCGATGTAAAATGAGCTTGTCAAAATCAGAGCGAGAGTCTATTATATTAAATGACGCAAGAGGAATACAACATCCTTTCTATTACGTAAGTCAGAGTAAAGATGGTAAAATATATGTAAGAAAAAGAAAGGTTCCATTAGCGAATGCAGAAAGCGACAACATTAAGGTGTATGGCAAGGGTGAAGTCCATGTTAAGCCTTCTGTTCAAACTGAAAAGTCAATAGAACCAGAAGAAAAGAAGCCAGATGTACTTTCAATAACGAACCAAGAGCTTATTGCAAAGTTCGTGAATTTCATTGAAAAACAAACCGAGTCAAAGAACCCTGACCCACCAGTGAAAGAAGTTGAGACAAAAGAAAATGTACAGTTCATTGAAAATGTCAAGAAACAACTTCCACCACGAATGCCAAGAAGAAGAGTGAGAATAATGAAGTAAATAGATATTTTTATCCGAAGTAAATACATGCAGAACGAACAGTTAAACGAATTTACTCCAGCAGAGCATATTCATCAGATTCGCTCATATTTCGATATCATAGACAATGCAGTTCAAATTGGTGACACTAATAGAAAATATTCTGACGCAAAGATTCCATCACAACCTGGAACTGCTAAAGATAACACATGGGTAACATTCAATCTCTCACCTCCTGGTGAAAATATGTTGGACCTTTACAATACATTCATTACGTATAAAATGGAAGGTCAATTTATTGCAGATAAAGAAATTGGTTCAGGTTCCAATAAAACAAACCCACCAGGATTTTGGATTGGTTTCGATGACGCTTTCTATGCAGTTGCTGGATATCAAATCCTTGCAAATGGTCGTATCGTATATTCTCAAGACAACGCAAGAGAAGAAGCATATATAACTTCAAACTCACAAACTACCGAACAAATAAAGAAAGTAGATGTTTTCTCAAAGACTCGACATGAAGATGTATGGAGTCATTCGGGAACATGCAGAACAGGACAAATTGTTAGTGGTCCAATTACAGCAGGAAAATCATTTGATTTTAAGCTTCGTTTAAGAATTCCTGTTAGAAAATTCCTTCCATTAGAAGCTATTCGATTTATTCCAGCTTTTGCAGGAAACATTCAGCTTAAAGTAAAGTTCAGTAGCGACGCCTTACAATGCACATCTATATCTGTAAATGATATCATTGCTTTCAATCCAACTCTTAAAGTTGCATTTGCTTCAGATTCAAATCCACCGACAAATAAATTTGTTCCATGGAATGAACCATTCACTATGATAACGAAGGCAGTAGAAGCTAGTGGAACAGTTACTATTACAACTGTAACCCAGCAACTATTTCGAACAAAGATGGATTTTAATGAATGTTTCATTCATCCAAAGTCATTCTCTTTAGACCCTAACATTTATACAGAACTTGTAGAACATTATACAAACGAGGCTTTATGTTTTCCTGTTAAAGTTATGGATTGGATTCCTATGGATGGTTCATTCTCAAAGAATACAGATAGTTCAAGTGCAACATTTACAGCAGCTTATACGCCTATTAATGTTAAAAGTATTTGGGCACTATTTAGAAAGAAAGACAACTATTATGTTAATTTTGAGAACCCTAAGTTTAAATATCTTCAGCTTTCCATGGGAGCTTATGGAAATATGCCTGCAGAACCTGAAAAATCATATGGACCTGTATTTTATGAAATGGTTGCGAACGCCTGCAATACAAACAATGATATGATAGGATTTAATGAAGATGTTATGAGGTCATTGGTGGATGATGGTAGTGTGGAACATAAATGGGATAGCTATGACAACACACATTTCTTATGTGGTTTTCCAACAGAAGTGGACTTTTGCTTCCAGCAAGGTCAAACATCTACTGCTCCAATAACATACAAATTGTCTGTTAAAGGACCTATTGAACTAGCAACTGAAAACGTACCAAAGCCACTTATTGGATTTATGAGGGATTGTTGCTTTGCAATACAAGTAAGACAGTCAGGCATACCAATAATAAGACTTGACGACTATAACTTAGCAACTGACGACAGTGAGGAATAAAGGATGAACGTTTATTTTTAAAGCTTATAAATGAGTTCTTCATCAAGCTCTCGTGAACCTTCACCATCTATGAAACAAACTTTACCAAACGATTATGGAGCACCTATTGAATATTTCTTACGAGCTGCACAATGGCAAAGAGCAGTCTCACCAAGGTTAGGTGTTCCACCAGCTCCTGTCAAAAATAGCATTTGGTCAAGTCCTTATATAAAATATGGTCTCCCACTAGGTTTGCTAGCTACAGCAGGAGCAGTAATGATGTTGAAAAGAAATAAAGCAAATGTTGTAAATAATACTGAAGTAGCTGAAGTTAAACAAACTCCAACACCTTCGCCAAAACCAACGTCAAAACCAACACCTTCACAAGCAAAACCTTCAATGACTCCTGAACCTATGAAAGTACAAACTCCTGTTCAAAAGTCAACTCCTAAACCGACTCCAACATTTAAACCAGAACCTACTCCTCAAATAAATCGTAAAACTCCTGCGTTTCCTTACTGAAAAAATAACGTTATTTTTATTTAATATTAAAATTTTTATTTGATTGAAATGACGACTAAAGTCACTGAAGCAATGAAACAAAAGTTTTTGGTAGAATACATTAAATCAGGAGCGGTTCCAGAAGGTTTTTACGTTCATACTATGAAGGATGGTAGAGTTCAGTTTAGAAAGATAAAGCAACCATTAGATAAAGAAGGAATTTTGAGAAAGATTAAACTTCATGAGGACAACATTGCTGAACTTAAGAAGAAGCTAGAAGAGTTATAAAGCAATGAATTCAAGTGGGTGAAAAAAGAGGTGAAAAAAGAGGTGAGATCTCACCACTTCACCTAAATTTATTTTTGTGCTATGTTTTCATACGTGTGAGGGTGGTGATATCATTAATTTTTAAGTTTATTTTTAAGTTTATTTTTTATTTTATTTGGATGTAATGACGAAAACTATTGAGATAACAAACTACAACGGTCATGAGTTCAAGAATTTGTTCTTCGTTCCTCGTGAAAATACATTCTATCAGATACGAGGGAGAAAGGGTAAAGTTAGTTTGAGCGTTTATGAAGGAATGAAGAATGGAAAGTTTATACAAGCATACGATACAAACGGTAAACGTGTTTCATTAGCTTTGTCAAAACTTACTAACATTTATTTTGACAGTGATTTTGACCTATATGAAGAAGAAAGTGAGTCAGAAGATTATGAGCTGTTATGTGAAGCACAGCAATGGGAGGAGTTGCAATACTTTTGTAAGTGAGAACGTTTATTTTTACATTAGTGAGGTGAAGTGGTTGGTGGCTTTGTAAATATTTAAGGTTAAGTTAGTGTTGTCGTTTGTGTTGTAAAATATACGTTAACGGTTTTGTAAAGTGTCAAATTCACATATAATGGGTAAGGTGGAACGCAGTGCCACAGTACACATGATATGTATACTAACTAACACACCTTTGGACACCCTATAGTATAATGGAGATTCTGTTGAATATAAATTCAGAATTATTTCTTCTTCAATGTAGGGCTCGAAATTTTCAAATTTGAAACCTTTGTAATGTAGGAGCGTCACCAAATTCACATTTTCTGGTTTGATGATGCATGAGAATTGGTTTGATATCTTTTGGTAAAGTTCTGTTAATAATTTAATATCTTTAACACGAATTCGTGAAATACCATTAATCATGTAAAGTGCCATTTGGACAGATATTTTGTGAGTTGTAATGAATTCTATAATTTGTGAGCAACTTTGTAAAATATTATTGGAATTGACACTCCAAATAATTTTTGATGTTTGACTAGGGTATTCGAATACTTCAATTAGCTTAAGGTCACAAAAACCACATCCAGTTTCATTTATCGATTGATCAGAACTTTGCATGTTTTGCAAAATTTTATATTTTATATTTATATTGTCACTTTTGACAAAAAATTTCCAGTTGAGCAGAATGACCCAGTCGATGAGCAAATTCACGAATGGTATAATTGAAATCTATCTACAAAGCAATGTGAAAGCAAATTCCCTAAGTCTAAGCTTGATTTATTGGGAATTTAGGTTTTGTATTAATAATGATCTTAGATTGATTATTAGTAGGTTAGATGAAATATATAGTGGTTTTATTCGTATATTATCAAATAAAGATTACATTAAATTGAATGTGCAAATTTTCAATATTGCATATAGAAAATGCGAGATGAGCTAATATAACTTTATAAATCTGAGATAATTCAAAACAATAAATATGACACCCTGTGCAATACAGTATAAGGCTTTCAAAATTCAAAAATAGAGCTATTGAATTTACAAGAAAGTTTACAAAATTGGAAAATGAAGATCCAATCTGTTATTTTTATAAACGATATCCTTAGATAAAGGTTTGGTAGATACCTAATATGTACTTTTGACACCATATAAAAGACATCAAAATGTCACTTTTCAAGACATATCAATATATTTATGGAAAATATCCCAAAAATTATTGAATTCGGCAATGCAGTTCTTGCAGGTGCCAAACCAGGAACAGTCACAGTTCCAGAATATACCATTTCGCCACAAAATTTCAAAGAATTAGCAGAACACGTTTCAAATTCCAACGATCAAGCACTTAAAGTCGGTTTCTCCAACAGCATTTATCGTTTGTTACTTCTCAACTACAACAACTCTGACGAAGATAACGCAAAAGTTTTCAGAAACTCAGTTCTGGAATTTGCAATCAAAAACACAGTTAAAAACACATTATCAGGTATTTTGAAATCAACAAACGAATTATTATCACAAACAGAAGGCAAGTGGCCAGAATTAATAGAGTTTTTACTGAAAAATGAAACGGAAAATAATTATTTTAGAGGACAATTCATTGCTGTTGCCACATACATCAGGGAAACGGACTTCCCAGTCACAAACAGAGATGCTCTTCTTCCAGTTATCGACAATTTACTCAAATCTTCCGAAGATCTTCCAATCTCTTCATTATTGCTCGTCATTACATTAACCAAAGCAGATATCAACCAATTACAGCCATACATTAACACAATCTGGGAATCTGCTCTTAAATGTGCAGAATCATCAGATTTCCATGCAGTTTGTTCGGCCATGCACGATCTACATCAAATCCCTGGCTTTGACAAACTCATTCCTGATTGTGTCTCCAAGAAAATTGAAATTTTCTCAAATCAAGATTTAGATCTTGAAAATCGCATCAAAGAAATCCATCCATGCATCAAACTCTTCCCTTTCCTTGATGAGAAGTCCATGGAAAACATTTTACAGGTTATTTCAAGTGAAGTGACCACAAATGTTGAAAATTCAATTAAAATTCTTGACACTTTTGAAGAAACAGAAGTTGATTTATTAAATGAAGGATCCATAGTTATTTTAAGCACCTACATACGTATTCTTGTTGAAGGAGATAATCCAGCACAAGGATTAGTATTTTTAGAACCATTTGCTGACCAAGTTTTAGATGACGAAGATTTTGAAAATGAAGTTAATGAACTTATCTTGAAAACTCTTCAAGACGAAAACAAAGCAATCTGTGCTTTATATTCTTTGAAGACAATGTCGACGAGAATGCAAAAACCGAACTTAGATTTATTTAAATTAGTATTGGATTATATTCCAAGAGATGACACTGTTGGTTATCATGCAAGAATTGCTATGGAATCTTTGATAGAAACACAGTTATTCGTGGATGACGTTTACGTCAAATCTTTCGTTGAAAGTTTTCAAAAATTCCAAGGAAAAACGTCACTTTTTGTCAAATTTGTCATCAAATTATTGAATTCGTTACCAGAAATAGGATTAGTTGTATGTCAAGGATTATTTGAGTTTTCTGTTCCTCTTATTTCAGAAGGAAAGAGCGATGAAGAAAAATCAGTTGCTCTTTCATTTTTTGCGCAATTAGCCGAAGTTGACAAAGATTATGTTGTTGATAGATTGGATGACATGATGGCTACAAGTTTGAGTTTAATGGAATCTAAGAATCCTGGCTGTGTTGCTGCTTCTGCTGATTTCTTGGCTTCTGTCGCGAATTCTTTCGAACAAGAAACAAGAGAAAAAGTTTTTGATCAAATTCCAAAAATGCTGCAAATTGTTAGAAGAGAAATCGAAGGTTTCCCTGAAATACATAGAAATGCAGTTGCTACATCTCTTTCTGATATTGTTTCACAATTCGATTTAAGAGAAACTGCTGAAGAACTCGCAAATATAGCAATGAAAGATTTGAATTCTAATGACGAAGAAACAAAAGGAGAAGCGATTCATATCATTTACATTATTTGCCAAAACTTATTACCTGATGTTGCTCAAACAGTGTTTAATGATTTGGCTTCTAAATTAGAACAAATGGAAGATCAAGATAACGCGGAAACATCAATCAGAGCTTTGAAAGATTTACTCAAAAAATATAAAATTGACAGAGAAATTGTCATGAATTTAGTTAAATCTGTTTATGAAGGAAGAATTAAAGCAATTGGACAAATTGATTCGATTGAGAATGATGAGACAGAAGTATTTGAATTACTCAAGAATTATGTCATCAAATACAAAAATGATGCTTTGATTTTTGTTAGACAAGTTATTGGTGTTTTGCCTTTCATTGATTCTTCTGTTTTAAGTTTGGCTTTGGCACCAATAAATGAAGCCCTAAACTTATGTAAGGAAAGAGATTATTTAACAGACAATGATATACAAACAATTGTTCAAACACTAATGACAATATTGAACCAGGATGATCCAGAATCAGTGAATTCTATTTCTGATACTTTGATTAATTTAATTATGAATTTCACAAAATTCGTTGATACACAACAATTGGTCAACAAAATCAACGATCTTTGGGAAACATGTGATGAGAAAGAAGATAAAGAACAGACATGCTCATTAGCAATGATTTGTTTTGCTTTGTTAACACAAAATGTTTTCATCGAACAATTATTTGCTGATTTAATTCAGTTGATGCCAATTAGTTGTGAAACATTTAGTTTGAAACAATCTGTTGAGATGATGAAGAAAGCAGCAGAAACATTACAAAGTAGAGATATATTAAGCTTCGTCTATGAATATTTGTGCAGATTCGAGTTGATGAAGAAGTCTCAGATTGAAGAATATGATGAAGAAATTCCACAAAACTTACAATCATCAATAAGACAGTTTATCAAAGAAAAACTGAAGAATGATAACCAAATGAAGGATGAAATGACAAAGACACTTCTTGCAAAGAACTATGGAAAGGTTTTAGTTGCTTCTTTGTTTAAATAAAATATAATTATTTTTAGAGTTATTATAATTATTAAAACTTTTTATTTACTATTTGAAAAAATCATAATCAAGAAAGTAACATGCTTGAAAATACTGAGAGAAGTTAATTCAGAAAGAAATTTCACTTGAAATCATTAATACTTATTGAAAAACAAACAGACTGCTCATTTTATCTAACAAAATATAAATAACTCATTAGTTTCATTTATAGATACATTTCCAATGTATGGAAAGGGATTTTCTTAAAAATTAGTAATTTTTTTGAATTTAATATAGACCTTTAACTATTATATACGAGACTATTGTTAATTATGTTGCCAACATAGTGCTACAGACACATTTCAATGATAATTATTCGAATAAAAATGTGAGATTTGATTCATATTCAGGCATCTGATGCATATTAATGTTTTTCTTGTATATGACATAAAACTAGATGCAAAAATATGCGGAGAGGTTCACTGCCATAGAATTTGGGACATTTGGTCAAAAGTTATGAAGGCTTAAAAAATTTTTCATAGTTATGAAAATCGCAATAATCGTAAATAATAAAATGTAACTTGTAATAGAAGATTATGCACAACTTGCAATAGGATTAATTAATGGCTCAAGAATATGCCATGATTACCATAAATCGAAAATTTCTAAAATATAATATGCTTAATACATATATTTTTCTTGAATAAATTTTTTCTACATACAATAGTGATATTAATTATATGAAAAAATGAAGTCATAGGAAAAACATAAGTGGCATCGCATAGCCGTTTTCAATTTTTTTCTGAAAAAGGTGACAACAAAGTAGCCAAAATGACACAGCCTCCTATTAATATTAGAGATATCGAAGAAGCTAGCAAGAAAATCGAAATGCTTCGTACTAAGCTCCAGACTCTTAACGAGCAGCGTGGTCAAGCATTCTTCCAATTAAGAGAATGCACACTTGTTCAAGAGGAATTAAAGGAACTCGACGACACAGATGTAATCATGAAGCTTTCAGGCCCAACACTTATTCAGGCTGATCTTATTTCTGCTACAGAAAACGTTAAACAGCGTCTTCAATTTATCGAAAATCAGATTAAATCTATTGATAAGCAAATCGATGATACAAATGCTGAGCTTGCTACAGCCGAAGATGTTCTTCGTAAAGTTGGTGCTGGACAATAAAGCGTTATATTAATATTACTTCACTTCAACTTTCTAGTTTTTTTTTATGATTTCAGAGAATGAACTTAAAGATACATCGATACTACTTCATAAATAATATTATTCTTTTCCTGAAGGACAAGGAAATGTTTCAATATTTTTTACATTTTTTTCAACAAACCATTATTTATATTCTGTGGAAATAACTATTTACTTTGAACTTTGTTAACTATGCAAGTCTTTATGATGCAAAATGAAAAATAATTATTTTTAATTTTATTTTCAATTTCACTGACCAAAACATACAAAATAAACATATAGTTGGTGGTTACATTTAAAAGAGTGTGATAGAGTTGTTAAAAAAAAGAAAATTATTTATATTTGACTTTATTACTAAACTATTATATAACTTATTTGGATTCTTCCTTCTCAATGGCAACTGGCTGTCTTGCTGGATATCTTGGTTTCTGCTTTGGAATTGCTTCAATAACATGCTTAGCAATTTTCTCGAAAATCTTTGCGTATTCAGAATCTGGGTGGGCCAAAAGTGCCGGGACACCTTTATCGCCAGAAGAAGCAATTTCTGGGTCGATTGGGATAGATCCAATAAGAGGAACGTTGTACTTCTTTGAAAGGTTGGCAGCGCCATCTCCTGGGAAGATCTTTGTAACTGTCTTGCACTTTGCGCAGCGGAATCCATCCATATTCTGAATAATTCCGACTGGTTTGATTTTGAGGTGTTTGAACATATCAAAGTTCCTCTCAACATCTGCTACAGCGACATTCTGTGGTTGTGTAACGACAATAGCGCCATCTACAGGAACATTTTGTGCAATAGACATTAAAACATCACCTGTGCCTGGTGGAGTATCAAGAACTAAGTAGTCAAGCTCTGGCCAGATAGCATTGCGAAGGAAATCGGAAATTACCTTACCGACGATTGGTCCCTTCCAAAGCATAGCCATTTTAGGACCTATTCCGTAACCAACTGATACTGTTGGCATTCCGTAATTCTCGACTGGGATGAAATTTCCTTCTGCATCGGAATATAATGGTTTACCTTCTGTATTTAACATTGTTGGGACAGATGGACCGTAAATATCAGCATCAAATAAGCCTACTCTCATTCCTGCCTTCTGAAGAGCAAGAGCTGTGTTAAGAGCAACTGTAGATTTACCGACACCACCCTTGCAGCTTGTTGTCATGAGGATACGGCCAATTCCTGGTAATGCCTTCCTTCCAAATGCTGCTGCAGCTTTCTTTTTTGTTGCTTTGGACGCGGCTTCGGCAAATCCGCGTGCAAAATGCTTGCCGAATGTTGTTAGCATTTTGAAAAGTGAATGATTTAGCTAAAATTTTAGGATAGATAATATGATAAAAAGAATATCTGTATCCTATAGATTAAATTTATCCTATAGATACGCATCAGGAACATGGTAGGTCACTTCAAATTATTTTGAAAATGAGCTTGAGCTCAAAATGGTATAGTCAAATTTACTCCCACTCAATAGGACTATTTGGTCATAGAATAAATCATTAAAAAGCTATCAAATTTCAAATTTTGAAAAAATTAGAAGACTATATGTGTTTTACACTATATCATTACCACTCACGTTACATGTCTTCCCTAATCAGTATGCTATGCAATGATGATTCTGATTAGTGAACAGAATTCAAAATATTATCCAGCAAATATTACATGTTTAGGAACTTCAATATCAAAATTAAAGAGTACTATAGTATGCTTACCAAACCCATGGACAGAATATCATATACCTTAGCTTTACACCAATCGGAATTTTAGCAAAATTAAGAGAATTGAAAATTTATGGACATTTTGATATTCTCTTTTAGCACATGCACGAAGTCAAAGGATAAATTTCTTCAAAATTTCGCGGAAAACCGTTTTCATTCAAATATGATAAAGCGTCCACATTGCTTCTTCGACGTCAACATTGATAACAAATCTGTAGGCAGAATCATTTTCGAGCTCTTCAGTGATATAGTTCCAAAGACATCAGAGAATTTCAGATGTTTATGCACTGGTGAAAAAGGAAAAGGCAAAAATGGAATGCCTCTTCACTACAAAGGCACACAGTTCCATCGTATTATCCCTAATTTCATGATTCAGGGTGGAGATATCATCAATTTCAATGGTACTGGCGGTGAATCAATCTATGGATACACATTTCCAGATGAAAACTTCTATGTAAAGCATGATAACCCATATATACTCTCAATGGCAAATGCTGGACAGAATACAAACAGCAGCCAGTTCTTTATTACAACAGTAAAGACTCCACAGCTTGATGGAGAGCATGTTGCATTTGGCAGAGTCGTTAACGGCTTCGATGTCGTCGAAAAGATCCAAGAATGTAGATCAGATGACGGAAAACCAAAATTTGTTTGCGAAGTTGCCGATTGCGGCCAATTCGACTAATTTGATTCATAAGATATATTTTATGGATCGTTTGGTTACTTATTATATAGTTTATAACGCTTCAGTTGTTAAATATTATATTTTGTATATTTAATTCTAAAAAATACAATATATCCTTTTACCCAACTAAAGCTTGCCCCAAGAAAAGTTCGTTCTATGAAAAAAAATTTCTCAAATAAAAAATTTTTCTCTTATATTGGAAAATTATTTCTTTTTGTATAAATTCCTTTGCAGATTAACTGGGATTCCATCTTACTTTCTTCATTATTGATTAGGGATTATCTGAAGCTTGATTTTTGTTTGATTTTTTCATGAAAAATTAAGTGACTGAGCTTTCTGCTAATACACAACTACTTAACACATGTCAGATATAGATATAAAAATAATGTCCCATAAAATACGACATGGTGTGGACAAATATCTAAAAATGTCGTAAATATCAGTAAATATTTCATAGTTTCAATCACAAATTGAAGAATTTATTAGTTTCCAGTCGGAAAACTTCAGATTTCCACTTTGCAAACATTCAGAGTTCAAACACGAATCAACGAAGAATTTTGAAAAAAATAAAGGACAAATTTTACGATGAGAAATATATCTAAAGATATTTTCAATGGACTCCGAAATAAAAAAATATTGACTATGTTCTCAAAAAAATATTTTTGAGATATTTACATATCGTAATAATGCAGAATGTTCAGTATTTGAATGTTGTGCAAGATTTATATGATCAATGTCCAGGATACAAACCACTTGTGCACAAGTTCTTAAAATCCGTAATCAATAATAAGTCAGGACAATTCGATGCAAACAATGATGCAATTCATGTACTTAGATCAGCATTTGCAATGAAATACCCAAGAAGGGATACAAGCAGTCCAGGAACTAAAGCAGTTTTTGATAACTTTGTTACATTGATGAAACAAAATTCAACAAATGAAAATTATGCTTTGTTTTTAAGATATTTATCATTGTATACAACAGGTCACATAACACATAAGATGTTTATACGTCTTTTCCTTCCTTTACTTCAACAGCCAGTGACTCCTGAAAATCCTGTAATTCGTGAGTTGCCAAAATTCATGTCTTCTGTTAATTCTGGTGTTTTCTACGAAGCACAAAAGGTTTTCAAGAATGAATTCGACGAATTAGCTACAGAACTCGTTATTTCTGCAACTGCAGCGAAGCCATCAGCCGAGTATTCGAAATCATTAGCGAAATGCTTGACATTACTATCCGACGGATGCATTAGACCAGCAGTCGCTAAGCAGTGGCTCTCAGTTTTTTGTAAACCAGATTTAATTAAGCGTTTGGACAACATTGATGACTTTTCAATGTTCTATCCTGGCAGATTTTCAGCTGATATCGTGTTCTCCGATACTCTTCAAGAGACATTACCTCCTAAAAACGTTTTCGACTTATATCAAAATTCAATTGCAAGGAGATATGACCCGCACAACCTTGCAGCTGTATCTTCCGATATTCTAGAGCTCAAGATGCGCCAACTCAGGCACTTAATCCTTAGCCTTGCCATTGGAGATCCAGGTACAGCGAATCAACTTAGTTTTGTATACGGATTAGAGAACTCCAAAGAGATCCTTGGAAAACTTCCGAACCATTCCATCCCCGTTGTCATGCGTTTGGTTGCTTTATTCGAAGATTGTTACAAAACATTAAGTTCTCTTACGTATCACAAGATGAAAAACTATCCGGTTGATGATCCTGAGTACAGAATATTATACAAACGATTGTTAAACCATAATACGTTCGCATTTTACTATGAACTTCCAGGATCTCGTTATATTGACTTTGTTTCAGTTCATACAGCTCAGGTTGCATTGGCATTTGTCGGATTCTTCAATGAAATATACTTTTCCGGAGATCAAAAAGAGAAAATTGAGAAATCTCTTCAATCTCTTTTCCCTCTCTTTGATACTTCTAATTTAGGACATTTCTATGTTGTTAATGAACATCCGATTCACTCAATCGTTTATCTTTCCGAAATAGCTCGAATTTTGTCATTATCCGGAAATTGTGACGAAGTAAACATTGATGACAAGTTCACATTCTCAGATGATCAAAATGGATTTGGTTCAGAGTTAATAGACCTCATAACTTCAATGACGAGCGAAGAAAATACAATTAAAGGTCAAATGAGCATCATTGATCTTCCTCTCATTAGAACACTTCGCGCCCTCAGCAGTTTTGAATCATATACATTACCAGAATTCCCTGAAAACGTTGACCAAGTCAACATCTACATGACTATGACTCAAACTGTTAACAGAGAGAATAAATTCGGTATCACATGCACAAGCGCGTTCTCTCCATGCTTCGTAGATGTTGTTAATGATCCAGCAATACTTAGAGAAGAACAACAAACAACATTTTGAGAATTTATTTTAATTTTTTGATTTTATTTTTATTATTTTGTAAATTTTATAATGTACAAACTCTTTTTAATGCTTTTTATTCTCTAACTTTCCATATTTTACTCAAGATTTTCAATTTCATTTTGAATAAAAAATGGAAAACAGATAAATCTTCATCAGATCAAACGAATAAGACATTTATACAACAAAGCTTATTCACAATTCATATTCATAAAAAGAAATTGAATCATGAAGTAAATCTTCTTTAAGAAATGATTTTTTGTATTTATCTTCAAAACCAAAGGCATAGGAATTCGAACAAATATATGAAGTACGTATTAATTTATCGATTTTCACCTTAAATTTTAATTTCAGTATATTTTTCTCAAGGTTTGATTTATTTCGATATAAAAATGTAATATATTAATTGTTTAAAACGGTATAATATATGTAATAATTGAATAAAAACTTTTCTTTTCGTGAAAACAATTCGATAATTTTTATTTGTTGGTATTAATAGCATCACGCAATTGAGGATTATCAAGACCCTGTATTTCACCAACTTGGATTGGGTTCTTCTTAGCATCAACGCCCTTGAAAAGTCTGACATTTGGAATGCCAGTGATTTCGTAGAGTTCTGCAAGCTCTGGATTTTCATCTACATCAATCTTGACGAATTTAACTGTGCTGTTATCGGAAGCCATCTGTGGGAACATACCAGCCAATCTACGGCATGGAGCACACCACTGAGCCCAGAAATTTGCAACGACAAGAGAGTTGTTTGCATCAGCAACAAACTTCTTGAAATCTTCAACAGTGCCTTTGAATATGTGAATGTTACTTGTATCGGTGCTTGCCATTTGAAAACGGTTTTTTTAAAAAGTGAAGGGTCCGATGGGACAATATGAAAAAAAGATTTTTCAATCACTTGTCTGTGATTTTTAAATAAATCTTATATATGATACTAAATATCCTAATGATTAACTTTTACATAGCGATTTCATGTTTATATTAGAGATTTTTGAAAATTGTTTTTTTGAAATCTTGGAGAAGGGCAGTTATATTCAAACTAATAATCACATTATAGGAGTATATTATAAATGTTCATTAATATTGATTGATTTGTTGTTTTACATTTAAACGTACACCTAAAGATATGAATGAGCAAAATGATCTGATTGAAAAACTAAACAAACTTCAAATCGCAATACAGAGGGCATGTCCAAAAGTAGAAAAGAAGTCAAATGAAGAGCATCTAGAAAAGAAGAAACAAAATAAGTCGGCAGCTAGTCAAAAAAGAACAAAATTATCTGAAAATGAGCAAAACCGTATCGAAAAACAATTTGTAAACTATTTAATGGAGCAAAAACTCAATGATACCATTAAAAAAATTATGTTAACGAAAAATATGCAAATTTGGAGAAAGAAACTCGGTCGAAAAGTACTTCTTAGAGGTATTGGTAATCAAAATACATCACAAAGAAAGCCTAAAGGCAAACAGAAAGGAACATCTAAGAAATCACAAACAGAACCGATAGAGGAGCCAAAATCACAAGAAATGACTCAACAATCTTACAATCCGACTGAAGAAGAGGAGAATACAGAAGAGATTTTAGAATTTGCTAACAAAATAATTGAAGAAAAGAAGAAACAAATGAAAAACTTTGATGACGGAATATATTCACCACATATTTACGAAAACCAAAACGATGTGCCAAGTTCACAGCCGGAACTCAGTGAAACAACTGCTCTTTTATCTGATGAACAACACATTATTAAAAATCCTTTCATTGTTTCGAAAACTCTTGATTTCTCAGATTCAGATGATGAATTTTTACACTCAAATGGCAATAACAATAAGCGCGTTCCTACTCCGATCGAAGATGTTTCTCCAATTGATCCAAAATCCGAAACATTGAATTCAGAACAAGATTTTCAAAGAAAAACTAAACCAGTAGACCTTGAAAAGACAACAGACAGAGTATTAATCAACAAAGAAATTCTTAATGATAAAAGTAGCTCATCATCAAGATCGGTTTCTAGTTCAGTTATCTTTGAAACACAAAGTGGAAAGAAGAAACCGAAATTCTCATTCAAAAATGATGATTTGTTTGCAATCTCTCCTTCAGAGTCATCATCAATCAAGCAGCCTTCTTCAAGTGTTAGTTCCACTAAAGTTCCTTCTTTTCCACCTGACCAAAACTCAACAAACTCACTCATTAAAAGAGTTAATAATGCAATCAATTTATCATCTTCTGGAACAGATAAATTCGATAGCCTTGTTGAAAAAGCACAAAAACTCTTAATGGAATCATCTCAGAATATCGAAGAAGAAGATGATGAAAGACCAGAAGAAAGAATACCTCTTGAAAAAGTTGAATTACCTCCAGTTGAAATTGAAAATGAAAAAATTCCAAAAGAAAATTCTGAAATTGCCTCAGTAAATAGCACTCCTATTAATTCTGCTCAGTCCACTCCTTCTAAAGAAAGTTCATTGAATTCTCCTCAGCCGATTTCTCCTGAAAGTTCTAAAAACAATGATTCTGTTACTGATAAGAATTCTGGAACAGAAAGTACCGAATTAAAGAACAATTCAAACTCAATGATGGATTCAATAAACACTCCAAGCGAAGATGAAGACATTGCTGAGTTTGAACGTCGTATTTCTGCTTTAACTTCATCATCAAGAGCAGCAATCATCCTTGACGATGATGGTGAAGTTATTGACGTTGATAATTATTTGAAGACAATTGGATATCAGTTGAACAAACCTCAGGATATTACTAAAATTGAACCAGATGCTGTTATTGAAGATGATGACGATGATGAAGAAAAGATTGACAGAGAATTAGCTGCTTTGCAGAAGAGTCTGAGAAAAGCAATTGATTCTACATCACATGCTGATGATCATGATGATGATATTGAAGATTTCGAGTATAGAATTTCAAAATTAATGTTGTAAGTAAATAATGTTTTTATTTTTATAAGGGAAATTGTCTAATTATTTTAATTAATTGATCTCAAACAAGTTGAATGGATCAGTTTTTAGAAGTTAACAGTCATTGAACTTATGAATTCAAAATGTATTAAAGATGAATACATATTCCTCTCTTATAAGTTAGCAATTGTGATTCAAAGAGATAATCATGAAATAATTCCTCCAATTTATGAACACCATGCATTGTCTACGATGGTTACTCGTTTAACTTAGTTCCGTTGTGTACATTGCAAAAATAAATTATTGCATTAAGTAAATGCACTCTAATTGAAGAATATATCAAGTACAATTATTTACACCTTGTAAAAATCTTTTAAAATTAAGTAGTTTCAAGTAAAAAACATAAACTCTATTTTATTCTATAATTAATTTACACCCATTCCTTGTTCGATTGCAGCTTCTAGTTGAATACATGTATTCTTTAATTCGTCAGGAATTGGTAGCTGATATAAATCTATTTGGTTAAATAAATTCAAAATAATTGGAGCAAATTTAGCAAAAGTTGATTCATTTGTAGCTAATCTTACTAATGAAGTAAATCCAAATATTATATCATCTTTCGCTCCTTTGCTTCCTAGTAATAAAATCGCATTTTTCATTAATTCATCCTCAACAGCACCAATTTCATATAAAGATATGATAACTGTTGCACAACATAATTTGGCATGCGATAAATATGATCCTTGAGTATTTTGTTGCAAAAGATTCGAAGAAATTTCAATTGTTACTGGAACAAATGAACTTTCCTTATGAGATATAGCACGAATAAGCTGGAAACAATGTGGAGGCACGGATGCATCATATGATTTGCACTTTTCTGCGGCAAAATTAAATAATTTTTCAGCCAAAGTAGGATCGAAGCTGATTTCTGATGAATAATATGCAACAAATGGTGTTAAGTATAATGACAATTCATATGGCGAAAGTTCATTGACATTTGCGAAGAAAATTTCAGAAAATTCGCCAATATTGAAAAATTCAGCGTATTTTCTACTTGCAATAGCAAGAGTTTGCAAGCAAGGCTGAGTGGTCTTCATTGACTTTCTTTCGTTTGTCAGAACATTTATGCAGCCATGAAGAATTTCTTCGATTTGGTACTGGAACAAATCATCAGCGTTCTTCATTAATACTCTCAATGCGTATAATGCTGCATTGACTATCTTCCTTTTGTAATTTTGAAGACATTCAATAGCAAATTTGAAGTCGTCGTCATAATCTGTGTTACTTGCAACATCAGCAAGCATTATTAGAGGAAGAGCGTCACTAACTATCTGGTTTTGGCCCGAACTTATGAGCACAGAACCAATTTGAGTTATTAAATCAAGCAAATCTTCTTCTAATTCAAGTTTCTTAATGGAAACTCTGATGAATAACAAAATTAAGCTTAAACAATCTAAAGCGAATGGGTTGTCTGTAGCAATAAAGTTATCATTCATACAAAAGCCAATACTCTGCTTAACTATATCAGGTAAGTACGATTTAGCGTAACTGTTTGACGATTTCGCTATTTTTATCAAGCTTTTATAGCAAGAAGTCAAATTATCAATAATAATTTCGTTGTTTCCGAACAAAATTGAATAAAACATGCGCATAGACTCCTGAGAAATCGATTCATCTTCATAAGAACATACTATTTCACCTAATAACTCTATTCCTGCGGCTATTAATTCTTCATCTTCGACAGATTGCTTAGTTATTTCAACAATTTTCTCAATAAAGGGTGATACATCACTAATGTGGTGTAATGCCGTTGAAATTACATATATGTCCTCTAATTTATACTTGTTCAAAGAAAATAATTCAACACAAAGTTCGCAAACAGCTGTCAATGATTCCTGTGGGATATTATTTACATAGTATAAGAATGGAACCATTGATTTGAGTAAAGAAGAAATGTCAAATTTGTTTGTTTCTTGAATTATTTTATATGTTTTCTGAATTAAAATGGAAAAGAGCTCGGAACAATCATAAGCATCATAAGCAAATGAAGCTATCTCACTTGCACATTCAGCAGCTGCTTTAATAATGAGTTGTTCGTCAGAAATTAGATATAATGAGATTTTTTCTGCGATTTTTGGAATAAAAACAGGCAAAACCTCATCAGCATAATCAATAATCAGTCTGTATACAGATAATGCAACGAAATAAGCATAAGGATTGCCATCTTCCGTCGATGATTCAACTAATTGTAAAACAATGCCGATAAACTCTGTTTTGTTGGTCACAATTTTCATGACCTTGACGATAAGGTTCAAAACCGAATCCAAATAAGAAGAAAAAGTTTCGTCAATTTCTTCGCATTTGCTGCACAAATTAATGCCAACGGCAAGGGATAATTGTACCAGGTCTGAAAAGATCTCTTCGCTCAACATTTCTCCGTAAATTTTGACTAATTTGTTGATAATTCCAAAAACAATCCAAGGAGCTTGATCTAGAGCTGTTTCGAGGTTCGCAAGGCGCTGCAAGAGTTCTTGTGGCTCAAATAGCAATTTTTCTTTGTAAAATGAATCGGAAATTGATTCTGAAATTTTGTAACAATTTTGATCGATTTCGCTTGATACAAGATTGCAGAAGACTTGGAATGCTTTCTCGAAGTAAGATGATAAGTCAATATCTAGAATTAGAACTGTTTTGCTCATCAATTTCATTGATTTTAGTAAAATTTCGATATCATCAATTGAAAATCCAAGATGTAAGATGTTTGCAATCATAGTTGAGTACTGTTGTAACTCTTCATTGAGTAATGCGCTAGATACTTGAATCATTATGGTTAATGCAAGGTTTATATCATTTTCAAAGATTGTGTTAACAAATTCATACAAATCATGCCACACATTAAGTATTTGATCGAATATAGGGAAAATACTGTCAATTAAATTTGATTTTACGATGAATGGAACAGTTTGACTTTGAAAAACTTGAATAAGTAGATTAAAAACAGTATTAATCATATCTGAATCGCGTATTTCCTTGAAATGTCTGTAAATCAGCTGCTTAATAAGATTGGCTTCTGACTGGCCAAAAATATTTTCTGTTTCATTGAGCAAAACTTCAAAACATGGAATGATATTCTCAACATTTGATAGGATTTGATTTGTTTTCTGAAAAATATCTTCCCCATTCTGATTAATTTGAAGACTTTGTCTACATAAATCTCGAATTTCCATAGATTTTGTGTAAACTATTCAATAAAATTTTGTGCACAAAAAAACATCTGATATATTTAATGCTCAAAGAACGTGATCCTCTTACTCTGTCATCAAATAAATCATCATTTAAATGAAATTCATGTATAATGTCTCCTCAATCCGAAGTGTCATATCGGGAAGAACCATTAATACATACCTCTCGGCTCGAAATGATCTTATCTTGTATTGATTGCGGCTCACTTTTTATTATTTCAACTATATCTCGAATTGAATATTGTCTTATTGAATAAATAGGTAAGCTCATTTTAATTAAAATTACACGCTACTAATATGTTGATCTTCTAGTAGCATTACATTACAAAATACCAAATATATGAATACTGAAATTTATTAATTGTATTATTAGTTTTCCCCAGGGCAAACATAACATATGGATCGAATAGCTTTTAATATAACGGTTTTAAGTCTTATATAATCACAATTTGATCATATTTTTACCCAAGATGTGATCAATTCTTCATATTTCATAGATAAAAAAATATATGCATATCCACACATATGCAAATATTCATTTGGACAATGAATAAAAAATTGAGATCAAATTGTGTGCGTTTAAAATTTCGGCGCCATAAAGTTAATCATGCTTGGCGATACGAAACAGCAAAAATATACAATTACAGGAACTACTTTAAAAGGTTCCAACCAAGGATTAACAAAGATTCCAATAGTTCCAAAAGCAAAAACTATTCAGAAATTATTTCTATCTAATAACGACATAACATCGCTAGAAGGAATTGAAAATTATACAAATTTACAAGTTTTATCACTCGGTTGTAATCAAATATCAAAACTTAGTGACATCCGTTATCTTGAGCAGTTACCTTTACAGAATTTACAGTTAGAATGTAACCCTCTCACGCATTTACCATATTATAGTCATCTTGTTGTTAGTTCTATTCCTTCTCTATTAATGCTTGATGGACAACGCATCGATGAAACGATCAGACAAAGAGCTATTTCAACACACACAATGGACATACAGATGCTTGATCAATTATGTGCAAATGATCTAAAAATTACTGAGCTTGAACAATTTATCCAAGATATCAAGAATCCTGGGCAACAATTTACGCAAGCTTGGTTCATGAATGTCAAAAAGGCATTAAATGCTTCTTCAATCCAAGATTATGATATTACAGAAGAAGAAAAGATCGAGAGATATGATATTCTTCGTGAGCAAGCACTTCAAGAAAAAGAAACAAGTAAAAAGAAGTGGAGTGATATATATAAAGAGATAGATAATATCCAATGCAATGTTATCTCAAACTATACTGAAGAAATCACAGTATTTCTCCAAGATTTCAGAAACAAACTCTCCAAATCACCAAAATCAAGCGCATCAACGCCTCAGAGAGATTCATTCTTACTTTCTAAAACTCAACGTATTAGTCCTTCTCCTCAGCCAAGATCTCCACTAATCATTGAAGAAGAACCATATTCAAGCGTTCCGCTTTTCTTTTCTAGACTTGTTAATAACCGTCTTAAAAGATCAGTTCTTAAAGCATGGAGAGGTTCATCAATTAAAAGAGATTACGAAGTTATTGCAGAAAAATTTTATAAATCTCGCCTCGAAAAAGTTCTTCTTCAATCATTTTACAGATGGAGACTTTCAATATCTCGCCAAGTAAAGAATCAGGAACATATTCCTTCTTCATCATCTCAAAGACCAAAGAAATTAGTTATAAACAAAACAATCTCGATCGGAATTTCATCAAAAAGAAACATTCCATCTACACCAGAAAACATTGAATTGCTTGAAGAAGCCCAGAGGTTATCTGCTCTTGTTAGTGAACTTCAAACTCAGCTCGATATGGCCAAAGAAGAAGCAAAAGAAGCGACATTAGCACTCGAAGAATCAGTGAAAAGGGAAACAAAAGCTAAAAATGAATGTAAGAGGTACGAAAGGATTGCAAAAGATTGCGAAAATCATATGAAACAAACAGAAAAGCGCTATGAAGATGAAGTTCTTCAGCTCATGCTTCAGCAGCGTTTGAAATACGACGGAATTGATAAAAAGACAGGTGAATTAGAAAAGGAAAATCAAAACATCAAAATGGAAAATGAAGCTCTTAATGCTTACATCAAAGAGATGAAAGAGAAGAGTGAGCTAGAAATAAATGACTTGAAGCAAAAACTCAATACAGCATTCGAAGTTGCAGGTGGCCTAAGAAAGAAAGTTTCTAAGCTATCAATGCTTCAAACTCCATCTCCAGTTAACAAACCATCTGACAATTCAATGAGTCCAACATATGGATCTCCAGCAGAGCAGGGGAATTAAGTGTCTAAATGTTTGTATTTGTTATTCTAATATATTTTTTATAATTGTTCGGAATAAAGAATGTTATTCTTATCTATTTAACACATAAAGAAAAATCTTAATAGTATCAAGCAAAAATTCCACCAAAATTGAAATTTCAAAATAAATTTGATGGAATTTAAAAGGTATCATATAGCTTTTAAGCTTTTCATATAGTCATAGAATATCCTTCACTAAAATTTCTCTTCAACTCTATGATTTGTGCCTGGTTTCAGCAATTTTTTTGTGAATTTATATACGTTAATTGGCACTTTTCTAAAATCGTTTTTTTGTAAATTCTATCTAAAAATGAGTTCTGAATACACAACTGAAACAGGCGATACTGGCTATACTGAAAGCGGAGATACTGAAAAACAAGAAACAGAAACACCAGCCGAATCAACACAAGAAAATGAAACAACAGAAGAAAACGAAAATCCAAATCCAGAAGAAAATGCCAATACGGAAGAAAAAGATCCTGAACAGGAACAAGAAAAGGAACCAGAACAAGAGGCTGAAAAAGAACCAGAGCCTGAACCGCAGCCCGAGCCAGAACCCGAACCTGAACCAGATCCATTAGAAGGACTTTGTTATCAAGATGATCCAAAGCAACCATTAAACCCATACGGAAATAAGTATTATTGGGAAGCACGTTATAGGCATGATTCAACACCTCTTGAGTGGTATCATAATAACGAAGCTTTTAATGAAATTTTTGAAGAATTTGTTAATAAGCAAATGAAAGTACTTGTAATAGGTAATGGAAATTCAGAATTACCTGTTTATTTACAAGAAAAGGGTGTTGAACAAATCGAAGCTATTGATTTTTCGTCTTTCATTACAAAACAAATGAAAAAAGCACATAAAGATAAAGAAGGTATTACATTCAAAGAGATGGATGTCCGCGAAATGAAGTATCCAGCAGGCGAATTTATGTCTATTTTGGATAAAGGATGCCTTGATTGTGTTATGTATCTTGGAATTGAACAAGTCAATCAGGCTTTATCAGAAATATCAAGAGTTCTTAAAAAGAGAGGTGTTTATATTTGCATTACTACACATCGCGAACAAGTAATGAGAAAGATCCTTGATAATCCAGCAGGTCTTTTACTTGAACTTGAAACTGTTAAAACAATAGAGAAACCGCTTCCGTCCGACACGCCAATTTATGTTTATATTCTTCGTAAAATTGGCAAGCTTCTTACATAATTAAACTATATTTTCTAACATTGTTTTAACTAAATACTTTTATAGTATGCCTAAACACTACGGATCAGGAAGTGGCGGTGGTCAAACCGCTGTCAAATTCCTTCAGAATGATCTTTGGCATCGAGTTATTGTGAGCGGTGCTGGAGGTGGATCTGATAATGTGAATGTGCCAGATAACTATAATAAAACCGATGATGGATCTGGAGGTTCCGGAGGGGGCTTCATTGGACAAGGTTATTGGTTAAACGGCACTTTGAACTCATTGAGATTAGCTAATTCGACGTTTGGCTTTACATTCGGATCTGGTGAATCTGCACAAGAAGAAGGATCAAAAAATCTGAATGGAGTTTCTCCAGGCTTTGGATATTCTGATAGAGCTGGCGCAGGGAGTGGTTGGTTCGGAGGATTTGCAAGCCACAATGGAAACAGTGGTTCTGGAGGAGGAAGTTCGTGGGCACTTTGTGCGAACGCTATCATCCCACAAGGAAGCATTCCTGCCAAAGGAAGTTTCTGGATGGAGAATGAGAGTCATCCTTACTCCTTTAGCCTAAATGATGGATACATTTTCAGCGATGTCAAGACCTTTCCAGGTATATGGGATGGCAATGGTCGTCTTGTTATCACTATCCTTGACAGCATTGTATATCCTTCTTGTATGTGTAATCATTATTTACATTACTCATATTCATTATTTTTAGTCTTTTTTTTGATGTAATGTATTTGGAGTCATCAAATTTTCAAAAATAATTGAAGAGTTTTCTCCAAATACATTACAATATTCTTATATTCGAGCTGAAGACATGATAAAACTGACAAAGACATTATTAAAATATATAAAAATTCAATTAGAATTTGTTTACTTTGAACAATATATAGTCCGCAGCATTAATCAGCTATTTTGATCATACTGAATTGATCGCATCAATGATAACTGAAGAACTATACTTCGTGCAGAGAGTTTTGATTGGTGAAATTAAATATACATAATCTGGATTGAATTCTTTCATCTTTGCGAACAAAGCTTCAATCACAGGCTCAAAGCATTGTTGAACATCGCCTGTGATAACTTTATTCATGAATTCTGAGGCGCGAGGACCAGCAACTTTTTCAACAACTCTTCTGATGAAGATTTCATTATCTTCAGCAACTTGTTTCATATGCTTTAATTGTTTCTGGTATTTTTCGGCTATTTCTTTCTTTGTATATTTCTCAGGATGAAGAATCTTATCATCAAGAGAAAGATCTTCATATGATTGTCTTCTTAAACTGCTCTTTGGTCCTTCACCAATATAATCTGATAATGGATCATCCAAGTTTTGGCCAAAGAGTAATGGAGTTGAGTTATGAACTTTCTCACGAACAATCTCATGCAAGGATCGAAGAGTATGCTTTGGATTGCCTTCTATCTCCATCATTAAATTGATTGAAAATTCATTAGATAATGATGTTCCGAGTAAACGATTGAGATAAGATTTACTCGTTGTAGAGCAATTGGCGGCCGTCATGATGGCAACATTTGGAATGTTGTTATATGATTCTTTGAAGCAACCTGAAAAGCAAGCTTCAATTGCAAAGAACATCTTATTAAATTTGCCATCTTTCTGCATTTGTTTAATAACTCTTAAGACTTCATAGGATGTCAAAAACTGACCGTAAGGGAGATATAATATATTTGGACTTCCATGATCATTGAAGTAAAAGAAGATATTATCATCTTTTGTTGTATTTAGATTTCTTAAGTATTGTAAGAAATCGAGTCTGTTAACAGCTGGTCCTTGGAAATCAAGCTTGTCATCGCCTGGATATATGTTCTTGTTATCTAAAAGATGAAACATCTGACCTTTGTATGGATTTAATGAATTATTAACCATGTCATTAAAAGCCCATAATGAAATATGATCATCATCAAAGCCGTGGGTCTTCATGATGTGGTACATATAGAATACATCAGCTTGAAAACGGTAATCTTTCCATACTTTGCACCCATTCCGAGGCTTAAGAGAAAGAACAACGAAAGCATTTGTGTTTATTGGCAGATCTGACATTATTCGTAGAAAAAACCGCCTATTAATTATGGAATTCTGATCAAACTTTTGATACATGTCATACAATATATTCTATGAATTTTCACAAAATCATTAATTGTGCGAAATGGATAAATTCTAGGACTCTAATTTCATGAAATAAAAGTGAAATCATTTATAATATCCAATTAATATGATGTTATATCCGTATCTGCAATAGATTTCTTGAATAGAGCACATTTTGGTCACCCATGCAATAGATCTGCTGGTGTACGGTAGCTAGATTGTTCTAGTGTTCTAATAATGCTGGATTGTATCATGTGATTTATGAGAGAAATTTTAACTCGCAGATTTTGCCATATAAAATTTACAAATGACAAAAAATTCAAAAAATAAAATGAGATTTTTGACATTACATTATAAATGAATGTTGATCCTAAACGTGATATTTGGGGTGCTTTAATTAATGAGAAAGCGTCTTCACTCAAATCAGGAGTTAACGAAGAAAAGCATTTTCTATTTGTTGGATCAGAGAAATCAGGAAAAAGCTGTCTGCAAAATCAATTCTTCTCTAGACGTGATGAGCCACCTGAAACGCTCGCTCTTTCTTACCAAAGTGCATCGGTTAGACAAGATGATAAAGAAGTTGTTCTCCATTTCTGGGAAATTGGCTCAGGAACAAAATTAGATCAACTTATCAACACAATAGTTACGAAAGAAACATTAAAGGACTTCAATGCCTTTATCTGCTTTAATGTTAATAAGCCATCCAGTATATTAACTGCAATTGATTGGGCAGAAAATCTCATATCAAAATTTGCTTATAAAAGTCAATCCATATACTTCATCGGAACATTTTACGATACATTCGAATCGAATGATCCAAGCCAAAAAATCAATACAGTTCAAGGATTGAGAGCTATTGCTTCTAAATATCATGCTGGCCTCATTTTTACTTCATATAAAGATGATAATCTAGCTAATCGCTTTAAAGGATTAATTCGACAGCTTGCTCTTGGCGAAACACCAACAGGTGAAATAATTACTCAGCATATCAGCCCAGTTTTCATTTTACCTGATTCTGATAAAGAGTGTGGTGGAAATGAAATCATTTCTCCGTATGTTCGTCAGCTTAAATCTGCTCCTCCAGACGATGATGCTCAAGCAGCTTCAAAGGATGATCCAACAAGCTCGAAATTTGCTGAGAAAGAAATTGATGAGCTTGCTGAAACTAAGGAGCGAGAATTAGAAGAAAAACTTAGAACTCTTCGTGCAAATATTATTTAAATACTTGTTTATATATAAATAAATATCCAAATTACTTCCACATCATGCAGATTTTATTTCATGTCTTCTTAATTAATGAAAAATGAAACAAAATATTATAAATTTTAATTCTAACTAAATGCAATGGATATACAATATTTGTGACCTGATTTAATATGAGTTGGCTATACCTCATCCTTTGAAATTGATATTTAATTTTTATTAACAAAATTTTTCGACGAATTCTAAATAATATATTAATTATTACTAATTTATATCCATGTATGATGTCCTTAAGTTTAATTGTAAATCATAAATGGATAAAACTCGAATTCTATTTAGCTCCTTATTTATCTTTACTATAATAGCCTTTTTTGCTGTTACCATTTTCACTAATGATGAAAGCTATGAAATCAACGATGACTATTCATTCAAATTAGGTAACTCTCTCGAAACATTTAACGAAAAGATACAGCTAATCCGAAATAATTTACAAAACAATATGCAAGGTCGATCATATATGGACTATTTTACAAAACCATTACATTCTCCTCAACAAATACATAAACATTCTTTGATTTTAATTAACAACCTGTTTGGAAATACTCATTCAGACTCAAAAAGTGCAACAATATCTCATGATACGATTACAAATCTTAGATCAAAGATTCTTACACTGTTAAATACAACTTATAATCATTATACTGTTATATTTACACATTCTTCAACGCAATCGATCAAAACAGCTCTTGAAACATTCACTTTTAATGAAACATCGAAGTTACAACTGATTTGCGATGAAAAATCCGAATTACCATATTTAAGTCAAGTTATTTCGAATAAAAACATCAAACGAGTAATCAGAAATGACGCCAAAATCGATTACACGCCGATTAAGACCAATGATTTGGTTTTTATTTCTCCATTTATAAATGGAAGTTTATTAACCATAGACGAGATTAAAACTATTATAAAAAGATCCCATGAGATAGGAAACACAACATTTGTTGGTATAGATGCCACACATTTAATTTCCAATTACGAAATCGATCTTGAAAAATTAAATCCAGACTTTTTCATCTTTGATGTTCAATCATTCATTGGATATCCAAGACTTGGTGTATTATTAGTTAATAACGACCTTATAACATCAAATTTACTGGAAAAACCTTATTTCGGAGGCGGAAGTTTAGTTTACGCTTTAACTGAGTCTCCTCATGAAAAACTGAAACTATTTCCATCAGAAAGGTTTGAAGATGGATCCCTTCCTTTCTTGACAACTGCTGCTGCAGACGAAATGTTTTCTGCTGTATCAGAAATCAATAAATTTAGAGTTGAAAGAATTTCAAAAATTTCGGAATACGCGAGAGAAAAACTCTCCAAAATTAATAACTGCAAAGTTTATGGTAAATCAGGATCAATTATTTTGTTTGACGTGTTAGATAGCAACAGAAAAGCTGTTGATGCTCTTAATTTTGCAAAATTTGCATATAATTCCAGCGTTGATATTTCTGTTTATAATAATCATTCGATGGCTTCTTTTGGTTGGTTATCCACTGAACAAGACATTGATAAATTAGTAGATGTTATTAATAAGTATCTTAATTAATATTTCTTTTGTTGTTTTGTTGTTGTTTTAATAAAGAACCTTTTTTAAAGTTTTGAAAATTGGAATCTCTTTTATTAGATGGAGACGGACTCCTACAAAATATTAACTCAAACTTCATTGACGACCAAGTGGAGATATATCAATCACAAAGAGTAAATCATCTCTTGCAAATATATGCATTTGACTGAAAATTCATCTTTAAAAGATTCAAACCGTGAGTAAGATTAAGAGATATTATTGTTGCAATGTGAATATAGAGATATATGTATCAATATTCTATGTATCCATTGTGGTCTCTCAATTTTGAATAAAATTGAAATTTCAAATGCTCGGATAAAAGAATTGAATTAACGTCCAAAAGTGGTTTGAATTCAAGTTTTTATCAATGTATATTTTATTAGCAATTATGAATAATATCGATTAATGGGAAACATAACATCGGGACCCAATAACTATCATGATAAATCTAAATATTCACATGATTGGAATTTTTCGATTGGCTGCATGTCTGATGAGTTGAGTCCATTTATTCCTTACAAAGAGTTTAATATTCAGTTTATTGATCTTTGGATTGAGATTTATCAAAAATAAATTTATTGAGACTTCTTTACTCATTATCAAAAAAGTCCCCCATCATCTTGTATTGCCTAGTAAATAATCCAAATTCGAGCCATTTTTTGCAGTTTGGCCGAACAAAACCTCGAATTTCAGTGTGAAACCGACACCAAAAATTTATAATCGCCTTTATATTCGTATGTATTAACATTAAATTATGACATGTTTATTCTTAAATCATGCATGAATATTTAATATCTTTAGCACCATGATCAACTAAGAAAGTGATAATATTTGTTGCTTGAATTTTGATGGCAATACTAAGAGGACATTCATTAATATCGAGAGAATTTCATAAAATAATGATAAATATCAAGAGAAAGATAATGTGATAAAACAATGATAAATATGAAAAGAAAGAGAATACCATAAAATAATGATAAATATGGAAAGAAAGAGAATTCTATAAAACAATGATAAATATGAAAAGAAAGAGAAATATATAAAATAATGATAAATATCAAGAGAAAGATAATGTGATAAAACAATGATAAATATGAAAAGAAAGAGAATACCATAAAATAATGATAAATATGGAAAGAAAGAGAATTCTATAAAAAAAAAAAAAAAAAAGGTAGTGGGGCCTCCAGGCACTTCGTGCCCTCTAGCCCTGAAGATGTTTAGTATAACTTTGTCCGGACAAGTAAGGGTCTATCGTCGCTACAGGAAAAGTTACAGGCGTTCCAAGGAAGTATACTTTGAGAAGCCTTTTCTCCATTTTAAAACAAGATAGGACGGTTATTTTACAAAACCGACAACACTTTGACCGAGTAGTTTTTTGTGCTGAACAAAAAGTGTCATATAAACATCTGTCAAAAACCGCTTTTTAACTTCACTTAAAATGCCACGTAAGCTACGTAAGAATATACGTAAGAGGAAGAGAGCATTGAAACATCCAATAGTAAAACTGACACCACAACAACAGTTGCAACAACAAATTATGAATGACCCCACTATGCTGCAACAAATGTCAAGCAACCCTATGCTTTTAAACCGAGTTATTGGTGCACAGAGTGGAGGTTTAAGAGCGGCACTTTTAGCGAAAATGGCAGGCTATGGTGAGAGCTGCAGACGGAACAGCTTATAACCCTCAAAGTCAAATGAATTTGAGTTCACTCAAAAAATCAAATAACAGATGTCAAAAAGTCAAACATAGACATACAGAAACAAATAAGTGAAAACGAAAAGAAACTAGAATATGACAGACACACAAAGAAACTCAATGAGTTAAACGTAGAGAAAAAGAAGAAAGAAGAACAACTGAAAGAACTAAGTACAGAGGAATATGCGAAAAAAGTGTCAGAAAAAGCAGCAGAAGTAGCAAAAATGGAACAAGATGTTATAAATTTGAAAAACCATACTACTCAATATAAGTACTGAAAGATGAAGAGATAAAACAAAAGGCCCTGAAGACATATATGGATAGCGATGAGTATAAAAAAGAAGTTGAAGCAAATGTAAAGGCAGAAAAACTTTTACAGTTGCAAAACCAAACCGTACAGTATGAAAAACTTAGCACAAGAAAGTAAAAATAACGACGCAGCCATGCAAAAGGCAATGAAAAGCGCAGAATATATAAAAGCTAATAATGACTGGTTAGATGCCCAAGCCAACGCCAAAGCAGCCCAACTTATAGGGTCAATAAGGACAAAAATACAAGCGGATGAAGACAGTTCAAATGAAGCTTTAATGAATGCTGACTTTAAGAACGCCTTCGAAGCTCTTCATAGTAAGGTGAAACTAGTGAACGACTTCTCATCTGGAAAGAAACTGAAGTCTGAAGGTTTCGACAAAGAGTTAAGAGAAGTAGCACAAAATATGACGAAAATAACAGATGCAGCAACGAGACAGGCAGTTCAAAGTGCCTATGACGCCGTTAGAGCAACTGTTGTGGAAAGTCAAGAAAAAGAGTTACAACAGACCAAAACAGACCTAGTAAATGCTTTCTTAAGAACGAAAAGTCAGGTAGGACATTATGCTGCAGATGGAACATATGTGCCAGCTGGTGGAACTTATATACCACCAAACCCTCCAAGAGAAGCACCTGCACCAGGACTACCTAAAACATTTACATCGTCACATGGACACAGACACAGGCATGCACCAAAACCAACACAACAACCAACAGTTCAAAACACTGCACCACAACCAACAGTTCAAAACACTGCACCACAACCAACAGTTCAAAACACTGCACCACAACCAACAGTTCAAAACACTGCACAGCAACAACCACAAACAGAGCAAGGACATAAAAGAAGTAGAGAACAAGGAAACCAAGAATTCTTAAAAATGCTTAAGGAAGACTATGGTTACCCAGATACTCTTGACTTTAGTGACAGATATAAAGAAGCTATTAGAAAGTTCAAGGAAGGAAATACTGACCCGAACCTATTTAGCTTTATGGTTCAGCACCAAATGGGATATAATTTCAAACCTGGAAAATACAAGCTCGCTAAGGGATATGATTTAATAGCATATCATCCAAATGACATGACTGAATTTACTCCAAGATATTTGGTGTCAGAGCTAAACGATAATTCAACTCTCTTCATGAAACGCGTAAAAAATAGAGACGGAACGAAAGAAGAAAGGTTTATGAGTCCGGATGACTTAGATAGGGAACTTTTTAAAAACGGTCTCGGAATATATGAAATGCCAGCAGATGAGGTACAAGAAACTCCACAGGAAGAAGTTCAGATACAACCAGACATGGAAGAAATAGTTCAGCAACAACAGCTAGAAGAGCCTGAAGAAAACGAACAAGTCCCTCCTTTGGAAACTAACTTCACAGAACTAGATGAAGATTTGGAACAGCCGAAAAATCTTGATCCTCAACAAGTGTATGCGGGGAATATGGAATCTTTCCAAGAGTCTAAGAAAAATTCGGCTGACATAGTAGAAGAATATCGAAAAATGTTCGCCGACATACAAAAGACTCCAACATCAGATGAAAATATCCAGCATAGAATGGAAGTACTGAAAGATAATGTACACAAATACAACAATCCTTTTTACTTACGAGCATATAACGTTCAATCTTTGGATGAACTCGGTGAAAATAAAAGGTTAAATTTCAACAAAACATATAGAAATGAAAACATTGTTTAAAGTTCATTCAGAACCTAGCCAATATGGAAACAAACCTACTTTTGTTTCTGCAGACGATGGAACTACAATGAGATGGGGTCATAAAGCTAATCCGGATAGGTGGTTCATAAACTTACAACCACAATTCCAAGAAGTTGTAGACGCAATGGAAGTGAATGGTGAACCAGATATAGCTGGTATTTTCAGCGCGGCTTTAATGCCATTGAAAGATATGAAAGATGCAGATATTTTGGACCAGTATGAAATGAACATGGCTGATGGAAATATAACACCTGACGTTCTAGAACATTTATCTCAAAGAACTACACAGAACCATAGAGATGGTATATTTGGTGAAGAGTTTAGAAAGAAAGTTAGGGAGAGAGAAGGGAAGAAACCTATTGTACATGACCTTGCAAACGAAAGTTTGCAAAATGTCATAAAAACTTACTTTGCAGACAATGAACCGAGAAGGGATGAATATTTAGAAAACTCAAATGGACAGTACCAAATGAAATGTTAGTATTGAAAAACATGTTCCTTGACAAAATAAAACCAACTACAGAAATAAATGACGCAAGACTGAAACATTGGGTAAAAGCTTTCCCATTCACAAAAGATATTATTGGTAACATGGAAAGAAAACCAGAATGGCTACAAAAACATATATTTGGAAACGAGCTTATTCCATATGGACAAGCTATATTTGAAGAGCTTGAACCGGAAACTCAGGAAAGAGTCATGCAAACAATAAGCGAAGACTCAAATACAAACTATGACAAAATCTTTCTAGGATATAGGTTACCTGAGATGGGCGACCAGAGCCCAAAGGCAAAAAGGACATGGGAAATTTACAACATACTAGGTGAACATGAGGCAAAGATGCAACAACTTGAAGCAGAGGCAAGTTACCAAAAGCGACACCAAAGAAGAAGAGTAGAACAAAGTAAAGCTTGGTACGAGTGGGTTCTATTATGACAAATAAATTCAACTATTCTATATTTTTACCCATATGAAATGTACGCCGCTCAGAATATAACGCCAACAGTTTTGGATGCCATGAACGGAAATGTTTCCGAATGGTATAACGAATGCGACAATGCCATTAGAAGGTCAGAAATAGTTCCTGGAACTTACGAATATACAACTGCTGTTTCTTATGGAAACGTAGGTGAGTTTGGAGAAGGTTCTTCAACAACAGTAGATATTGCTTGCGACAGGTTTCATATTATTTCTATTGACAACTCATTCTTATACGTGGAACAAGACATTGAAATAAAACCTTCTGCCAAGTTGTCTGACAAGAAAGGTTGCAATGGAATTTTCTATGTCGGATACCAATATGCTCCAGAAGTTTTCATGGGATATAAGATATATTCTAACTCTGACTTAGTTCAAACAGTAACATGGGCAAACTATGAATGGTTCGCTTTGAGAAACTCAGTACAACCACAAGCTAGAGAACAAACAGACCAGTATGCAAATATTGAGAAAATAAGAAGACTTGACCCTAACGTTCAGGAGTTTATGTTAACCTTCTGGTTCAGATGGAAATGCTGCCACTAAAGTAAAACTGAAACTTAGAGTTCCTTTGTCATCTTTCCTCATCTTCAGGTTTTTAAGATACTTGCCAAACTGGGCAGGAAAAATTTCTATCGAACTTACTCCAAGCAAAAATAACTTAGTCATTGCACCAACACAAGACCCATTCAGCATTACTGTAGCTGGAACTGGTGGAGCCAAGTTCTGTGACTTTTGCAAAGACAAAGTTGACTTAGACTTTGGTTTCTCAAACTTCAACAATGAAGTAAACTATTATTTCAATGCTGCTGGAACTGCTTGGACCCAGTTAAGTTTACATGCGAAAAATTTGAATGCAAGAGAATAGAAAGCAGACTTGCAGTCTATATGTTGGACCCAGATATTTCAAATGCTTTAGCTGCCAAATATATTGCAGTTCCACTTATGTTCCCTATACACCAAATATCTGTCAAAGACTTTGCAGGTGAAGTTGGAAACCAAAGTGCTGACCCAGGTGCAAGAACAGATATTGCTTTAACAACTGCAATGAAACATGCAGATACTATGTTTGTACTGTTCAGACGAACTATAAATGACTATTCTTGTTTCTACAACCCCGGTATTAAATATCATATAAACATAGATGGCAAATATTATCCAAGAGAAGAATATTCTACAGTTGAGGATATGAGGTCATACAACTTGACATTAGATGCTATGAACTTTAACAACAACTTCACAACAACCATTAACCCTGAAATGCAAATTTCTATTATGCCATATGTGAAAGTATGGACTCATACAGGAGGTCAAAAAACTCAATATACAAATGGAGACCGTTCAAACTTTTGGCTTGGCATTCCATTTGCTGACTCAGAAGACTTTATGGGTGGTATTTCAACTGTTGGTACTGTACAAATACAATATACTGGTGACAGAGACGGTCCAGATGAACTGAGAGCAAAGAAGTTTACAAAACCAATAGCACTTTTCACGGAAGATGCTCTTTTGAAGATTCGTTCGATGAAACCTGCTGGGGCTCCTCAGATTGGCATAACGACAGCTTCCATCGAGCAGATTTTGGCAGCAGGTCAGTAAGTTGTTCTTGAACTGACTTCTCTCCGTCAAATATTGACAGTACGCCAGTTTTGACATAATATTGTAAGATAAACTTACCTTTAGAAATATCTGTAAGTTTTGTTGTTATATTTTTGTCAACGTCAAGAACTTTCACCATTTCAGTTATACCAACTTTCTTTGCTTTATGGAAATATTTTGGTTCAGCAAATATTGCTATTCTATAACATTTACCATTGTTTGTATAAAGAACTATTCTGTCAATGTATTTGTATTGTTTGTGTGTGTAAACTTTGTTCTGCTTCAATTCGAAGAGATACTCGAATACGTCCATCTTTTTATTCTAAGTAAAATGTCATTTCCGAAAAATAGAAGCGTGAGTGTTTCAAAAGGTTTAATGGCGGTGGCAGATGTGAAGTTAAATTCACCAACTCAAACAAACAGTCAAAGTGTTGTTGTCAATGTCAAAGACAGAGATGTTGAAGTGGGGAAACCATACGAAGACGAAGATGGATATAGCAATTGTTCCTGTAAAAGAACCAACATATCCTGAAGTTAGCAGAGACTTAAGTTCTGTTGCAGATATTCGAAACGACTACCAACAACTTAAAGACAAACTTCAAACTCAGGAGAAGATTTGTCAAGCTTTAAGTATAATGTTAAACTTGGTCGAACACAACCCTGTAAAAGTGAACTCATATGTCATCGCACCTCATGAAGTTTGGAAAGAACTATTGAAACTTTTGACAGAGGCAGACGATATAAACATCAAAGAAATAGAACCCGACATTAGTTGCTGTGGTGTTTCATATAATGTCATTGACAAGATATACGTTATGAAAGGAGGTGAAACGTTGAACTTAAAGTATAGTTTCCCAGACGTCATAAAAATATTTGACGACCACAACATTTCATTAAAATTTATTTGCTAAGTAAAAATGTCAAAAACTTCTTGAAAGATGTTTGAAGAAAAATAATATAGACTTTATTTCATGTAAAGGACTTTACACACTTTTGAACGATATGAAAGACCCTGTTTTGTTTGTTCGTGTAGACAAAGGAAAGTTCTATGTCTTTACAAAATATTTGAACTTCTTAGACAGAGAACTTCAAGAAACGCCATGTGAAAGTTTAGATGAAGTTCTTCTCCACTTTCAGAAAAACTTTTAAATATATATAAATGGCAGAAGATATAATGGTTTATACTATTACGACTAAAAACCCTGAGTCATATAATTCTATAACAACAAACTTACAAAGTCCTCAAGGACGGTATTGTAAACTAACTTTAAACACAATGACGACTAAAGCCTGTTTTGCTCTTTTGACACCAGAAGACTTTATTGTTGTGAATGGTAAAAAATACTCCTTTGAAGATACTTACTCAGATATACCACCAACAGGTTTTGTTGACTTATTTAATACTTTAAGTACGGGTGTAACATGTGCTGCAACTAGAGCAGGTTTCATTATGTTTGGATGTCCGACTGAGTTTACTATAAACAATATGAGCTATAATACAAAACTTATATCTGGTTTTTACTACCAAACAGTTTCCTATAACAGGAAAAGGTGTCATACAAGGAATGTCTATTCCATTGACATTAAGCACACCAATCTATATATATTGTTTCAAACTTAGGTTCAAAGTGTTATTCGAATGTCGACAGAAACTATTATGACCAAAAGATACTTATGCGTATAAACAATACTTCTCTGCTGGTTTGCCTATTGTTCATTCGAATGCAGAATTTTCAACCTTAGTGAACTCAAACACTTTGGCAAGTATAACGTTGACATTAGTTGACGCAAACTTTGTTCCTGTAAAACTTTTATGTCCTATGTATTTGTCAATGACGGCAGAAAGTTTCGAATTGGAAGATGCAACTGGTGAAAGTATTGTATTACAAGAACAACTTCAACAACAAATAGCTCAAGAACAACAAATGCAACAACAAAGTCAAGAATAAAAAAATATTTTTTTTATTTTTATAAAAATGTACAGAATAGATGTTTCAGATTTTTATGACTTCCAAGCATTCAGAAATATGTGTCCATTTCGAGACTATAACAAAGCAGTCGAGAATTTGAAACGTTTAGTCATTTATGTCGACTCTGCCCCAGAATGTTATGTTATGAAGAATGGGATGTTGTCTTTAACAAACCAAGAGCAACAATAGTTTCAGAACAAGAATGTAGACAGAAACTTAAGAAAATAAAAAGTCGTACAAGTTGGCATGAAGATGTTAGATGCTTGGGATATCTTATTGTCAAAGTTAGAAGATTTTTCAGTTCGAGGTATAAAGTTCTATACACCTTCTCCAAACTTCTATTCTATCTTCACTGGATATAAATATGAACAAGTAGAATGGAAAGAAAATATTATAGAAGCTTGGTTAGACCATGTCAAAGAAATTATATGCAATGGAAACGAAAGAGTCTATGAGTATATCTTATGTTGGTTTGCAAACATCTTACAACATCCAAGTGCTAAAAATGAAACTGCTCTCATTATAATTGGAAAACAAGGAACTGGTAAGAATACTTTCTTTACAGATATTTTGTGCAAACATTAGAAGGTTATTCGAACCTAATATGACAAACTTAGAAAACATCTGTGGCAAGTTTAACTCCTCAATAGAGAATATGAAACTTATAGTTTGCAATGAACTTCAAAGTATAGATACAACAAAAGTTTTGAACTCAGATGCTTTGAAGAGTCTTATAACAGATAAAGTTGGAGTTGTTGAAAGAAAATATAAAGACCAAAGAGTTTGTGAAAATGTTGCAAACTTCATTATGGTTTCAAACAATGCTGTTCCGATGAAGTAGAAAGTTCTGACAGAAGATATGTAGTTGTCAGAACGTCAGATTCTCATATGCAAGATACAGAATATTTTGACGACTTAGCAGAAACTTTGACATCTGACTTTACAACCACTTGTTCTCATATTTTATGACATTAGATATTTCAAAGTTCAATCCAAGACAAAATTCCACATACCGAAGAGAGACAAACATTGTTAGAAGCAAACAAGAGTGTATATGAACTGTTCATAGATGAAACTGACTTGTGTCATTAGATGAAAGGTCATTGTACGATTCGTATAAACAATATTGTCAAGAATATGGTATATATGGCAGCTTCTAAACGAACATTCTTGGCAAATGTCAAAAGTCTTTTAGATGTTCAGAATGGTGTATATACAAAGAAAAATTTTTCTGAGTAAATTTAAAAAAAATCTTTTTTATCCGATAGAAAAGATGGCAAAATTCATCTCAGTAAATAAGTACATGACAGAGTCAAAGATAAGTTAGCTCCATTCGCATATTTGAATGTTACTTCTACAATTTTGAAAAGTCTACATTTGACAAAATTTGGAACATTGCACCAGTTAAGTTTGCTGTTGTTAGAAAAAGTGGTGCAACTTTTGAAGACTTATACATTGACGGTATGTTGACAGTCAAAGAAAATTTTGACAGAAGTTCTCAAACTCGAAGAAGGTAAAGCATACAAACTTGTTATACCTTATAACCAAAAGAAAGCAGACGACTATGAATATTATGAGTCTAAGATAGTTGAAGTTCAAGGTAAAATTGGGTAAAAAGATTTTAGAGTCTAAGCCAGTGTTTGCTCCTAAAGAGGAAGAGAACATTGACATTGACCCAGAAATGTTCTAAAAATAAAATTTTATTTTTACATGTCAAATTTCTTTTTTTCTGGAAACTGGCTCTTGGTTCTTTCTTCTCTTCTACTTTTTTCTTCTTTCTTTTCTTTCTTTTCTTCTTCTTCTTTTCTGGTGGAGTTATGTCAAATTTGGCGCAACCATATTTATGTAAAAGTTCTTTGTCCTTTAATAGCTCTTCTATCTGTTTTTCTATTTCATCTTCAAGAACAGCGCATGTGTCTTCTTTGCATTCTAAGAAGTTTTGTTGGACTTCATCTCTCCAATCGGCGTCATCTCTGTCAACAAGTCTGTCATTGACAAAACTTAAAGACTTCTCTGCCTAATGTTTTATGGTTCTTGTCATATTCCCAGAAACAGAACTTTAGAACAAATTCACCTTTCTTGTTTACACTATGTAAGATTTTATGGTCGACAGATGTTTTGCTGTCAAAAGTTGTCTCGAATATAGATAGCGAAATCGCTAGACATTTTCTAAAAGATAAAAATTTTAATTTTTCTAAAAATATGTTAGAAAAAAAGTTTGCTGACATTGACAAGAAATTTGAGAATGTTTTAAACAAGAACAAGAGGAAGTTAGAAAATGCTCAGATAAAGCCTATACATGACAAGTTCTTATTTGCTCAGAATGGTATAACAGGTCTAATTGCACCACCTGGGTCGGGTAAGACTTTCACTTATCTTAAAATGGCTGCACAACAACAAGAACTAGATGAGAAGAACCCATTCTATGAGTTAGTTGTTATTTGTAGTACTTCTGGTCAATTTGACCAAACCGTCAATTCGTTCAAAGATATTATAAAGAAGTCTAAGTTAGTATGTATAAAGATACTGAGTTGTTAGATTGGATAAAGAAGTACCAAAGAAGAGTTTTGAAGTATAATGCTATAAATGAGTATATAAATTCTAAGTTTAAAGACCCAAATGAGGAAATGCAGAGAATATTAGAGAAGAAACACTTCAGAAACAAACAGAAAGAGATAGAATACATTTCGAAGAAATTGCAATCTTACGATTGGAAGACTTACCCTCATAGGTGTCTTCTTATCTTAGATGATTTGCCTCTCATCCTTTGTTAAGAATAGAGAACAAGACATGTGTCGAATTCTTAAGAAGCTCAGACACTTTAACATCTCAGTTGTCATTTGTGTACAGACAGCAAAGAGTTTAAGTAAGGATGTTAAAAGAATACTTACTGACATTATACTTTTCCCCGGATTGTCCGAAGACGATTTCATGGAACTTATGAAAGAGTCCATGGCAGGTAAGTTTGACAGACATGAACTATGGAGAAGTACAAAGTCATACAAGACCCTCATACTTCTTTCAGAATTCATATCTACGCAAACAAAGTTCAAATTGTAAAAAGTCAAGCGAAAAAAGTAAGTTTTAGTCTTAGTAAGTCTGTTGTGGTGCTGGGGCTGTCGGTTCTTCTGGCTTTGGAAGGCATTCAGGAAGAGGAACGTCAGTCATCCGTTTGTGTCCTGTCGGAAGGAAGAACTTTTCCTGTCGGAAGGAAAACTTTTCCTGTTGGAAGGAAAAATTTTCCTGTCGGATGGAAAAATTTTTTCCTGAAGTTCGACCAAAAAGTTCTCAATTTTCGAAAATTTGAATGGTTTACGGACGGACAACTGGAAAATTTTTTCTTGTCGGATGGAAAATTTTTTCTTGTTGTCGGGAAATTTTTTTCTGTTGGAAGGGAAAATATTTTTCTGTCGGATGGAAGGACTCGGAATGCCAGAAGGATTTGACAAGCCAATTTACTTTATAGAGCTACCTGAGCCATCTGAAGTCAAGCTTGAAAAATAAATGGTTCATCTACCCTACTTGTTTGAAGTTGTCAAAATACTCTGTTATTTTTTCCTTTAACAATGGCAAATCTTCTTTGAAGGTAAGTATTGTACAACCTTTCATATCATAGTGTGTTTGAGGTAACGTATCTTGAACTATTTGTTTCACATCTTCATTCGGTGTCATTGAAATCGGTAAGTTTTCGCGATAGAACCAATTTCTGTCAGATTTGTAAATCTTAGCAAGGTCGTAAAAGCTTTTGTTGTTTCTTCTGACTAAATGCAACATAACCATATCTCTGTCTTCTTCATTTTCCATCTCTTCAGTATAAATCATATACTTATAGTTCTTTTCCTTCCTTTTGGTACCGAACGTGGTATTCTTTTCTGAATGCTTTTTGTCTTTTGCTTCATGCTTCATCTTTTGCTTCAAGCTTGTTCTCTAGCTCTTCACGTTCTTGTCTATGAATTTCATCTAACATCATGAAAATTAACAAGCGTAACGAGGTGAAGCCCACATTGCAACAGCATTTACAAGAAGTCTATGTACATAATATCCTCTTAAATTTATTGGCAAATTCTTACGATTTTCGTACGGAATCTCATTCCTCGGTTTTTCGAGGGTAGCAAACATATGAGGAAATTCTTCTAAAAGTTCTTTTGTCTGTTGGTTTTCAAACCAATGATATGCTTGCTTTGTAGAACGAAGAGCGTTCAAAATACTTTGCATCTGGTACATATCGTCTTTGACCGAACGAATGAGACGTAACTGTTTGTTATACTGTATGTACTCGTATTCTTCATTTATAGCTTCATGAACTATAACTGTTGTTGTGTTCTCTGATGTTGACATATCTGTCCTTACATACAAAATAAAAAAATAAATAAAAATAAAAACTAACTTTATTTTCTACTTTCACAAAAGACCAAAAATAAACGCTTTACATGTATTTTCAGCAACTTCGTCAAATAATTTTATAGCTTTATCTATCTCATCTACTTCAAACGTTTTTTACCTTTTATGGGAGCACCATACATTTTCTCAAACTTTCAAGTAGTTCTGTTTCTGCAGCTCTCATATCGTTAACGAACACAACCTTGACTCTATTGACTGTACTGTCATATCTTTGAGTTATATTATATGTTCTTCCTATCTTATATCTCTTTGTATTGAAGTCCTTCGGTTTCTGAACGATGTAAAGTAAGCCTTCACTGCAACGTTCTGAGTCGAATAAACCATATGTTATGAAGTTATATCCAACAACTGGGTCTAACCATAACAAAACTATTGGTATAAGACTTTTGTCGATGAGATATGCTGTAGTTCCATAGAATCTTACCGATATCATAAGCTCAGGATTTCTTGTCAAAATTTCTGAGTAGAAGCAATTTTAACCCAGTCGTTTGTTTTCTTCCAGATGGAGATATAATGTCTGACAAAGAATATTTGTTGTATTTCTTTGAGTATCTTACGTTTAAATCACCTATTCTAACCAATTTAGTGTTATTGTCTATCTTTTTAACTGTTTCAAACTCAGTGTTTGTCATATATGTTCTTACATACAAAATAAAAAAATATTTTACAAAAAACTAACTTTATTTTTTCTGTCTTAAGGAAATTCATGATTTTCATAGAGTTTTGGCGACTAAGTTTTTTTTCCCTGGTCGCTGTTCTTCACGATTTTCATGTGTTTTAGGCAAGGCCGGTAAAATCCGGTCTAGAGAAATTTCACGATTTTCATACGGAATCTCTTCTCTCGGTTTTCCGAGGGAAGCAATCTTATGCCATTTTACTCAGATTTTTGGTCATTTTTTTCAGTAAAAATAATGTTTAGGGTAGAAGGTTAGATCTAACCTCCTTTCTACCCTCTTTTCTCACCTCATGAATTTTCATGATTTCATCGAAACTAAACGTAAATGTTTTGTCAAGACTTCTTCGTAAATGTTTTGTCAAGACTTCTTCATCGTACATTCTTTGTCATGATTTCATCGAAACTAAACGTAAATGTTTTGTCAAACATGAACATACATGTTTTGTCAAGACTTCTTCATCGTACATTCTTTGTCATGATTTCATCGAAACTAAACATACATGTTTTGTCAAGACTTCTTCATCGTAATGAGCGTAAATCAGACAAAAATAATGTTTAGGGTAGAAGGTTAGATCTAACCTCCTTTCTACCCTCTTTTCTACCCCAGTTATTTTATAAGCGTTTTACATGGTAAACGTTATGAATTCGTGAGACTTTAAACAGTTTTGTAGCTTCTATTTCTTCTTTTAGTACATCGAATGTTTTAACGATACCGAAAGTTTCTTTATACTTCTTCTTGACGTCAGATAGAAGGAAATCTTCTGCTGTTGGATAGTTTTTGTTCAAAAATTCTAACATGTCCATTTTATCTTCTGCTGGTTTTTCTGCTTCTTTCTTTAAGTCTGCATAGTCGTTTCTCATTCTTTCTATCTCTTTGACGGAGTAGTTATATTTCCTCATTGCTGCTTTACATTTAGAACATTGCGGGTTCATTTTTGCGTTATATTCTGAAACCTTACCTGCTAAAACAACTAAGGCGTCAATGGTTTTCTTTAACTCAAAAGCTGCTGGTTTTATCTGTTCATTCCATACCTTACCTCTTCTATCTTTATCTCTTATCTGCCATACACATTCAGCAACTAACGAAACAAAGTTGTCGTAGGTCTTAAACTCCCGGGTTTTGTAAAGGTCAGAAACATTCTTATATACTATGTCGCAATCTTTGTCCATAACCTTATGGTTGCAATGAAATCCTAGAAACTCATAGTTTACCTTTCGTATGAACTTCTTTATTTCTACTGAGTCAGTTGCTTTGACTTCTATTTCGTCGAATTCAGGAATAGTGAGTTTTTGTTGTTGGATTTCAGGCAATTTGGGTAAATGGTCAATAATGTCCTGCATTTCATAAAGATACTGTTCATTTGTTTCATCTTTCGCACTACAGTCTAAATTACTTGTTAAAAGTTCTTGCTTTATCTTCTGGATTTCTGTTTCGAAAGTATATGAAGAAGGAATGAAGCTTTTCATCTCTACTAACATAGATGTTGGATTCATGACTAAAGAGTTTGGTGCTGTAGTTGTTTGAATTGTTGTTGTGCCGATTGTTGACATTTTATTTTTTTATACAAAATAAAAAAATAAAAAAAATAAAACTAACTTTATTTTTTATTTCGGGAAAATTCATGAAAATTCAAGAGGGTAGAAAAGAGGGTAGAAAGGAGGGTAGATCTAACCTTCTACCCTAAACATTATTTTTGGGTCCTTTACACTCATTTACGAAAAAGTCTTGACAAAACATTTACGAAGAAGTCTTGACAAAACATTTACGAAGAAGTCTTGACAAAACATTTACGAAGAAGTCTTGACAAAACATTTACGCTCATTACGAAGAAGTCTTGACAAAACATTTACGAAGAAGTCTTGACAAAACATTTACGAAGAAGTCTTGACAAAACATTTACGATGAAATCATGAAAATTCAAGAGGGTAGAAAAGAGGTTAGATCTAACCTTCTACCCTAAATTATATTTTTGGTCCGGGAACAAAATGAACGAGGTCAGGATGTATGCAAATACCTTTGAATTCATTCATAACACCCTTTGTAAGCTCATAAAATGCTTGTTTTGAGGTCGAGCCACTTTTGGCTCCACCGTATTCTTTCAACCAAAACTCAAGAATTTCCTGCATGAATTTTATATAAAAACCAACCGTCTGAATTCAGACGGTTGCTATATTCTTCACAAAACATTTACGTTTAGTTTACGAAGAAGTCATGACAAAACATATACGAAAAAGTCTTGACAAAGCATGTACGAAGAAGTCATGACAAAACATGTACGTTCATGTTTGACAAAGCATGTACGAAGAAGTCATGACAAAACATGTACGATGAAGTCATGACAAAACATATACGAAGAAGTCTTGACAAAACATTTACGATGAAATCATGACAAAACATATACGAAGAAGTCATGAGTTTTCTACGATGTTAGAAAAAATGTTATTTTCTAATATCTTCACATTCAATACTTTTTCAGCACTTTTCCGTAGTTATATATGAAAGACAATTCGAGATAAAAGTCATAGTACAATGGAATAATATGTTGCACACCATTTGTTGTGAACCAAACTTGAAAGTCAGAGAAACTGTTACTAGGTGGTTCGTAGAATTTAGAAGCAAAGTCATAAAAGTCCTTACCAATACATAGAAAACTATTGTTGCTTGAACTGAAACTTGCATGACACATAACATTTTGAGGGTCAAACACGTTTCTATAAACTGTCAAATCTGCTGGTGGAAGTATAAATTTAAATGGACCATCTGGTGGTAATGGTTCGTTCTGGTTTAGTAACCGAAGAAATTGTGCCCAAGAACGTTTGTCTACCTCCCAAAATAAAAACTCTGTATCTCTTGGAGGGTTAATTTCAATCTTTTGAAATGAAACGGTGGAGTTCATCTTGTCATATTCTAGTTTCAGATAGTATGTTCCATTTAGTAAAGAGTCGTGTTTTTCTTGAAATTCCCAATAATATTTGTTCATTTGAGTTTGAAAGTCATTTAGAGTTTTTTCAAGACTTTCGTCTGAACGAATTGTAAAGATCCTCATTTCGTCAAATTTGTCTATTAGACCATCAGAACCTTTATACTGCCCATGAAAATATACTGCGAACATAAATGCGTTAGTTCTATTTGAAAACAAAACTCTTCTAAATCCTATTGCCTTTGCATCTGAAGGACTTTGAAGCCAACGAATTGGATAGTCAAACCTGTATGTTCGGGATGAAATTTCTTCATCTGATATTGTCCTACCAGCATTTGTAAAGATATAGTCTAACGGTTTTGTATCTGCTACTTTTGTTCTTTGTTTTTCAACCTGAAGCATTTAATATATGTAAAAATATATTGTTTTAAAATGGTATGCCATTTCATATTTCTCATCTAACAAACAAGTTTCCCAACGGTCTTCTCCAACAAACTCAGCGTACATTTCAAATAAAATAAAAAAAATGTCACTTTTTTAAAAATAAATTTTTATTTCATGCAATGTTTTATTTCTGTGCCGTCTTCAAGTATGCCCCAGTACTTACGCTTGGAGAGGACATGAACTTCGGAAAATACCTTATCTAGCTTAAAACAGCCCATCTTTTCACCGACCATTCCCATTTCAATGAGTTTGTTATAGCCTTCTTCGTTCGTCATGAGTGCGTCAATGTTCTCATAGTAAACCACAACTTTCGATTTGACTTCGGAGAAGAATTTGTTGTAGTTGTCCAGGACTGCCTTTGCGAACTGTGGGTAAGACCAATGTTCGACAATAGGTTTTAATGTGGTTACTAAGCCACTTTGACCTTGAGTGAATTCGTACTTCAAAACAAAAGGAGAAAACCTTTCAACAAAGTTGTCGACCTTCTCATAATGTTTACTCTTCATCTCTTGAGGTTTTTTAATGGAATATCCCCATGTCGAATTCATAAGCAATTTGAGTGTCATTGCAAGTTTGGGGTTTGAAGCTTTCCTAATATCATACAGTTGTTGTATGACTTTTCCAACTGTATAGTTCCTTCCCGGGAACTCACCATCTTCGTTTGGAATTCCAGTCGGAATATATTGGACAAACCTCATGTATGCAGCGTTAAGGTCGACATAGTATATCTTTTCATCTGAGTCGAACTTGTCGCAACCAATTGGTCCAGTTTGTGGAAATTCAAGTGAGTCTCTTATCTTCTGAGAAACTTCTCCTGTTATCTCATAAACATCGTCGAAGCAACCTGTTTCATATAAAACCTTCTGACCTAACTCAGATGCTCTCCAATACAATTTGACGTCAATTGGATGTCTCAATGGAAGTTTGTTTATAGCATCTTGAAGTTCTTGCAACCTCATTGGAAGTTCTTCTGGTTCAGGTTGGTATCCGAACAATCCAACTCCTTTTGGAATTGTGTACTTCTTTTGTACTAGAACTTTGTCTGGAACAACTTTTGGTCTTGCTAACAGTGAAAAGTTTGTTTCGTCTTTTGGTACAAAAGTTTCTGTCAGCTTGTCATCTGGAATTGGTTCCAACAAACCTTTCTCGAAAAGAATGTTTACAGCTCTGACAATGTTGCACTTGCCTTTTCCGAACAATGGGTTTGTAAGACTTTCGTTCAACATGAAGTGGTTGTGGGCAATTACAATCTTCAACCATGGTAAATTGAACTCAACAACATAGTCGTCATGTGAAGAACCTTTAGCTGTAGGTATGCTGACTCGGATATTGACATTTGCCAACGGTGCAATTTTTGCCAATTGACCTCTGAGAATGTACCTTGTCTTCACACATGACTCAAGATACTTCATCTTCTCTTCTGTAACAAGACCAGAGTTCCTGAGACATGTAAGAATGCAAGGTTCATTGACAATTGTTTCAATTGAATTGTAAATTCCATACCTTGTCAAGTCAATGTCAGACTTATTTATGAAGGGGAAGTATCCAGCATGTTGTCTGACTGCTTGAGGGTTAGGTTGGTACCATTCGAACTTGACACTTGCAATTCCTTCAATTGCATTCAAAATGTCTGAGTCGGAGTCAACCATTTGTTCTCTCTTTGTAGTCTTGAAAGCGTCAAGAAGTTTTGCAGCTGTTGTGACATTGCCATTTGCATAGTAAATGTGACCATCCAAATCTGTTATGGTCAATCTGAGATTGTATCCTTTCTTATTTCCATCTTGAATTGCAGCAAGTACACCCATGAAGCCTTCTTTGTTCTTTCCTTCGTCAAAGTTTACTGTAAAGGTTCGACCAGATGTAATTTGACTTCTAACTTCACGATACTTCTCATATGCATATCTTGTTCTTTCCATGGGAGCATGACCATCCTCTGCACTACCTTTTTTCCTTCTCAAAGGATGCAATTGTTCGTCATGTTTCCAGTAGAATCTGGCAAAGCCGTCGTGTCCTTCAACTTGAGGTTCACTAACATCGAAAGGCATGTCCATAAGACGTTCTTCTTCTAACCTCTCTAGTCTGTTTGGATAATTTGCACGTGCTGTTTCCAAATCCATTTCGTAGCGAAGACCAGCCAGTTTGTCATAGACTTTTATGGGTCTTCCCTTCCTATATTTAAACTTCTTCGAAACTCTCCAACCATATCTTTGCAACTCTGCTTTTATTCTAGCAGATTTTCTATCCATTCTATATGGGGGCATTTTTATAAAAATAAAAAAATGTTTTTTTTTCTTTACTTTACATAACCACCTGCTGCCATAAGTCTTTGACGCCAACCCATACCAGCTAATGAAGGTTGACTTGGTTTAGTTTGGAAACTAAACTTTGGTTTTGGTTTATCTTCAGTTTTTGGTTTATCTTCAGTTTTTGGTTTTTCTTCTTCTATCGGTTTTTCGTCACTTTTCGGTTCCTTTGACTTTACCTCACTTGCAGGAACAGTTGTGTCGTCAACATCTTCATAAATATCATATGCCATTTGTTTTTGTTTTCCTTTCAACTTTTTGTGTTTGTTGTAAAGTTTAGAATATTTCGACTCTAAGTCAATGAGATGTTCTATAATGAACTGTTGGTCAGTGAAGTAAACTTTTCCATCTGTTGTCTCGAAAGCTCCTTCAGACTTCAATATTTTATTTGTGAGAGTCTGTTTCTTTTTTGAGATACTAGCCGTTCCATTTTTATGAAAAGTGACTTTGTAGTTAGGGTTTGTATTTCCAGACCTGGCACTTTCTATTATTGAATTTTTCTCTTCATCTGTAAGTTCTTTGACAGGTTTTGACAATGGTTCTGAACTTTTTGTTTGTGGTGTCAAATCTACCGTTTCAACTTCTTCGGTCATTTCATCTCAGTAAAAAAATTTTAGTTTGGTTTGTTTTCAACTGGTTGTTGTTTGTTTTTTAAGTCGGTCTAAACTTCCTGAGGTATAGGAAGAACTTGACAAACACGTTGTGTAACTGCTGGAAGTCGACAAATCCATCTTGAACCCATTTGTCTCAATGCTGTATTGTTCATTTCATCTCAGTAAAAAACTTTACATTCCCCACGTTTGAGGCGGTTGAGGTTGGTTTATTGTTTACCCATTGTTGTGCATGGTTATATCCTCTGTTAAAGAATCTTTCACCTTGGTCCATATAGTGTCCTGCTTGGTTATAGTAGTCATTTGCTTTGTTATAATAGTTTCCTGCTTGTCTTCCTACATTGTCCATCCATCCTTGAACTTTTCCTCTTGTTTCAGGATTTGGAATAAGATTTGCTGCATCTCGTGCTACATCCCAACCTTTCTGTACAGTTTGTATAATAGGTTGTGCTTTCTCTTTAAGTATACCTAATGTACTCAAAATCTTCCTTCCAACTCCAAATACACCTCTGGCTATTGTTCCCACTGCGGGCAAAAATCTGGATGCAACTCCTGCTAATGCGCCAAATAAACCCATTTCTTATGGGTTAAAAAATGACGAATCCAAACAAGGACCCCTATGTTTCTAAGGCAACAAAAAAAGCACTCATGATAAAAATCTTTAGTTCAACACCAAATGCTTGGTTTATGGATATCTTGGAAAACATTCCGAGGTATAGAGAAGATGGACCACCATACTGGCTAATATTTGTCGGTCAAAACACAAGATACTGTGAAGCCATACCATTATGGTCCAAAAATATTTTAGATGTGAAAACTGCTTTGACAATATTCGTTGACAAATACCATCCAACAAAACTGACATCTGACTGTGAAAGTTCTTTCAAATCAGATGATGTAAAAAACTATCTGCGTTCAAAAAATGTAAACCAATATTTCATTGTCGACCAAAACCATTCTGCTCTTGGTGTCATTGACGGTTGTATAAAAATGTTAAGAGACTTAAACCAACCACAAGGTGGTGAAGCAAATGAAATGTCATATGACGACAAATATAGACACTTCTCCATGGCAAAGATGAGACAAGTTTTAAATATTTACAATAGCCGTAAACAAAAAGGTTTGGGAAACCACTCCCCCGAAGAAATGAAAAACAACCCTGACTTAGAGAAAGACTATATATTTAATAATTTAGTCAAAAGAGACAAACAAGAAAGAATGCCGGGCTTCAAACTTAAGAAAGGCGACAAAGTAAAAATAGAAATACCTAAACGCGACCCATATGAAAATACTATTGACTATGACAACAATGGGAACCCGACAGGTACTCACATTCGTGTTCGTAAAAATAGAAGAAAGTATACAAGAGAATATTATGAAGTTTTAGGCAAACATGGCAAAATGTACAGACTGCAAGCAGAAGATAAAACTACTATTGTCAGACCTCGTTTCAAACTTGTCAAAGTTCAAGGTGGTATACTTTCAAAGACAGTTCCTAACAAATATAAGACAACTCCTGACGAATATGCTAAAGAAGTTGAAAATGACGACTAAGCATTTCTATACCATGCGTAAACTGTCATGTAAGGTGGCATGTAGTCTTTACTTTGTCCCGTTGTTTGCGTATATCCCGAAACGCGATGTGTATGGTTTCCATCTCCCTGAGTGTCACCCCAGAAACAATTTATAGCAAACTGAACGTCGTCTTTAACATCATATCCTTTACCTTTTTTCATTGCTGACCAATCCCAAAATTTATGCTTATGCCAACCTGCTTGAGATGTACTTAAATCTATGTAGTGACTGTGCGCAGGTAAATTTTCACCTGAAATCGTTTTACTTCCTCCTGTTTCCTTTGAAGAGTTTGCACAATACAAAAACCTGTCGACTATTTGAGTCCAAGTTCCAAAACCCAGAACTGTTTCTGGTCTGGTAGAGTTCATTGACGTATAAATAGAGCCTATAGGATATAATGTTTGAAGTATTTCTGTCTTTAATGTTTGAAGCTCTGTTTTGTCTGCTTTCTTGTCATATAAATCTTGAGCAGTGAATTTAATATTATGTTCATCCTTCATGACATAAACATCATTACATCTAATGTTTCTCATCGTCGTTATGTCGTCATCCGATGTTAAACCTTGTGGAAAGTTAGGAGGTTTACAATATAATACATCCCCACCAGTTTCTTCAACCGTTCCTTCAATACTTTCTATAGCAACAGTTGTAAAACTTGTATGTGTATGAGTCTTATTTGCTTTCTTCTCTAACTCATCGTTAACATAAGTTTTATCTGCTTTAAGGTCTAAACATCCTGAAACCCATCCTGTATCGGCTTTAGTTTTTAAAATCTTCGATGTCCGTTCATGGTACCAGTCAACCCTTTCTATAATTTCTTTATCTTTTTCATCCACATATTCCTTATCTGCTTTCTTCTCTAACGCACTAGCCACAAGTTCCTCATCCGCTTTCTTTTCAAGGCTAACGTTTAAGTTTGTTATTTCAGATATAGAATGTGTATGAGTCTTTTTAGAATATTCGTTTTCAGCTCTTGTCACTTCACTTGACATTTTATTGTCAACATATGTTTTGTCTGCTAGTTCAGGATGAGTATGTTCTTTTGTTGCATAAGCATTGTTAGCTCTTTCTTCTTCTTTTGCTATTGCATCGTCTACATATTCTTTGTCAGCTTTGTTGTCAACATCTGCTTTCAAAGAAGTTCATTTATAGGTTTCTCGTTTAAAGTTCCTTTTGTTGGATTTATACAGACAGTATTGTTTCTTCTTGTCTTGAAATAGAAACTCATCTGTTAAAGGGTTTAATGTCAGTTTTAAGTTTCCTTCTTTCAATGACTCAGATATCTTAGAATAGTTTGAAAAGTTTGTTGTGTTCTTATTTAGAGCTTGCATAATGAGTTGTCGGTTGTGTTGTATTTCTCTCATGGAAGCATATCTTTCGACATTTTTATTCTAGATAAAATATGCTTCCAATAGAAAAAGAAAATTCAAGAGTTGCTACAACTAAACCATTAGATGAACTTTTTACTAATGTCGGTCAAAAGTTTGAGACAGAGACCGTAAAGCATGAAGGCTATCGTTTTGACTACCCATTAAGATGGTTAAGAGACCCATCTGTCACAAAAGCTATTGGCTTTCGTAGAATGAAGTTCATTTCAGAAGCCATACATGGTTTCCCATTTACGGTCGGTTTTGAAGTTCGATACTATAACAAAGAAAAACATACGTATGAGAAATTTGAACAGGGAAAACTTTTACAAGTTAGTTTGCTTGTAAACTTAGAAAACAACTCTTCAAGCTTTTCAAGAAAAAATAAACGACATCTATCTCGAATATGCAAACAGTATAACATTGACGAAGAGAATACCATCTCGATATTATTTATGACAGGAAAAATGCAACTGTTAAAATCAATAAAATAGAAGACCTTGGAGAAAAACGTTTATATTTCTACAAAATATAACAACTTGGCATGGTATAGATTTATGAGGATGTTTAAATCAGCCTGCAGCATATCCAGTACACCCAGACTTTTATGAAGTCGAAAAACCCTAATGGAACATATGAAATATTTTCGACCCAGATGCTATTATTGTTCATGCTTCATTTTCTGGTGCGCAAAACTCTTTCTTATGTCTGATGAATGACTTTTACGAAAAACCTACAAAGTTATACGAACCACCAAGTGGAAGTATTTCAGACTTTCAAGTATGGTTACTACAGATGGAAGAAAAAGAATAATTCCATTATACCATGCGTTTTTACTTAGAACTTAGTTTCATATACAACTACTATCGAACGGTAAAAATATAATTTTTTAATACGGTTGAGGTGTTGGATTTGGTTGCCAACTAGACTGTGGTGCAGGTTCAGGCTGTTGTATAACAGGAGCTTGTTCTTCTGGTTCAGGGTCTTTAGGTATAATACCAACAAACTGACCTACTCTTTTACCAATATTTTTGACACCGTTCCAAATTCCTCTTCCTACGGTTTTTATTCCATTCCATATACCTCTTCCAACATTTCGAAAGAAGTTTCCTATCTTACTGAAGAAACCCATTTTACTATATGTAAAAATCTAATGTCCGCCTAGTCTCTTACGTTTCTGTTGAGTTCCATAGCATTCTTTAACTGGAGCTCATACATTCTGTTTCTCCTCTGGTAGAAAACATATTCTGGGTCAACTCCTGTGTTTGCGTCATCTGCATAAAGTTTGTTTATATCCCACTTCAGGGTTTGTATAAAACTCTTCCATCTCATATTTGCATACCATTGGTGGCAAACCTAACGCAGCGTCATTTGACATGGCAGTTTGCATTTTACATCTGTTGGCACTTGACCATAGTTTGCCATTGCAGTTTGTATTCTAACTTCATTTGGAATATTCTCTGGGTTTGGTTGTCCAGGTTGCTGTGCATTCGCTAAGTTCTGTGCGTCCATTTAATATTAGATAAAAATATCTCTTACGAGTACATATGCTGAACATTTGCAGGCATTGGTTCATCTTCATATTCTCTGTACTTTTCTGCCACGTCAAATAAATAAATGACACAATGGAAAAACCTAAAACAAGTAGTCCTATTTCAAACCACATTTACTTACTAATAAAATTTCTTTGTTATGACACTTTCTCTCCAGTTTATAGGACCTCTCTCAATATTCTATCTTGTCATATATAAACTCATAGTCATGTATGTCCTCTAACCATCTCATAACGGTTTCCAAAACCACTTTTATCGGATGTAAAGTAAAAATGGATGGTTATGTAAAACGTCTAAAGTTTCTAAAGAGTCTCTCAGAGTCCAGTCTACTTGGTATTGAAAATCCCATGTGTTATAGAACGGGGGGTCCACTATAAAGAAAACATTTTCCTTGTCTTTATATTTTTCATACAAATCTGTCCAATGACATCTCACAAACTCTATACCCTCAATATATTTTCTATGTCCTCTTTGAAAACATTTGTATAGTTAAGATATAAAACTTTTGACATAAGTGTTTCAATGTCATGAACTCTTATAGCACCACTATATAATAGTCTAGCAAGATATACTATCCCAGTTATATATTCTGCTTTTTTCAAAACCTCTCTCACAATATTTTTCTTATCTAATGGTATACGTTCCATCTTACCTATCTGAATCTTTTCTTTTAACTCTTTCATATATTGTTTGTGTCTGGAATATGTTTGAGACGGTTCATATAGTTGTCGAAGTCATTGCATATAATCTTTGAGTCTGGGAATATTAATATGGCACAAATGGGATATATAGAAACTTCCACCGAACAAATCTACAAATGTTAGACCATTCGGTAGTTTCTTAAGTTCTCTCAATATAATATCTTTACATCTACTCTTATTTCCAAAGAACGGTAACGGAGGTTTTGTAAAATTCATTTATATATAATAATAAAAATGTTTTTACCTGAAAAGTGACAGAAAAGTGACAAAACATGAAAACATATATAATTTGTGAAAAGCGACACATTATATAATGTTTTCGACCCAGAAGAAGGCTTCTTCCCAGAAGCAATGGAGGAAGAAGAAGAGTCCTCCGAATAAAAACTTCATTTATACTAAACATCAACATCAGGGCTAGAAGGCACGAAGTGCCTGGAAGCCCCACTACCTTTTTTTGTTTTTTTTTTTTTTTTATAAAACAATGATAAATATTAAATGAAAAAGAATTCTATAAAACAATGATAAATATTAAATGAAAAAGAATTCTATAAAAAAATGATAAATATGAAAAGGATGAGAATAAGTTTCGTGTTAACATCTGAACCATGCTCAACTAGGAATTGGACTATTTCTATTGAATTCCCATTGATTGCAATACTAAGAGGGCATTCATTAAAAAATGATAAACATAAAAAGAAAGAGAATTTCATAAAACAATAATAAATATGAAAAGAAAGAGATTATCATAAAGCAATGATAAATGTGAAAAGAATGAGAATTTCATAAAAGAAAGATAAAAGTAGTAGGATATGACGGGTTTAGTGACTTTTTTTGTTACATCTATATATAGACGATGCATTAAAATATATTTATTTATAAATCATTAAAAAAATTAACATTAATTTTAAAATAATTTATTTTTTTATCTTTTATAAAAGAAGCTATATATAGATGATGTCAGATATTCCGCGATTAATTAAACATCATTTAAATCCTGAATGGGTTAAACTTCAATTTAAAAATGAAGATTGTGAATTATTAAATGAATATGAAAGCCAAAATAAGCTAATGAGGTATAAATATAATGATAAAGAATATTTAATTTCATGGAATCAATGGAGTCATAATCAAAGACCTCATAAACGAGAAGAAGAAATTGAAAATAATGAAATGGAAATCATTGATGACATTAAAGAGGATGGAATTCCTAAATTTTGTAGAAAAACTTTTAGAACTAAGTTAGGAGCATATAAACGTAGAGTATTAAATCCTGAATACATAAAACATTTATTTAAAAAGGAAGACTGTGAATTATTAAACGCTAATGAATATGAAAATGCTAAATCAAAACTGAGATATAAATATATTGGAAGTTATGAAAGGTGTAAAGATAAAGATAAAGTTTATTCAGTTTCATATAATAACTGGCACACGTTAGGGATAAGAAAACATTTAGAGTAGTAGGATATGACGGGTTTAGTGACTTTTTTTGTTACATCTATATATAGACGATGCATTAAAATATATTTATTTATAAATCATTAAAAAATTAACATTAATTTTAAAATAATTTATTTTTTATCTTTTATAAAAGAAGCTATATATAGATGATGTCAGATATTCCGCGATTAATTAAACATTGTTTAAATCCTGAATGGAATCAATGGAGTCATAATCAAAGACCTCATAAACGAGTAAAAGAAATTAGAAATAAATTCTTACGAAAAATTAAAACTTAGTTATGTTTATTATTTTATTTTTTTATTTTGTATGAAATGAGCGTCAAAACTAACAACGTTAAAAAATTAGGATTCACAAACGAGGAAATAAAGGATATATTAGAGGAGGTGGGTTATGAAGTTGATAAATATTATTTAAGAAATTGTAAAAAATTCGCGGAGTTATTAAATGATTTAGATTATGATGGAAAAATGAATAAAGATGATGTTATAAATTTCTTATATCCCACATCTGAAGAAGAAAAAACCTAAAGAACCTGATGTTTTCCCTGAATATTATGAAGAACGGATTAAAGATGATGAATACAATGAAATTGAAAGACTGAAAAAATAAGAGATGAAATAGATGAAAAAATTAAGGAATTAAGAGAAGTTGAAAAATATAATGAAAATGAAGTAGAGGGTTTAATGAATATCCCAGCTTCAGAATCAGAAGTTCAGAAATCTCATGAAGAAAGATATAAAAATTATGTCTCAGAATCAACACAAAATTTATTAGATGGTGAAATAGACGAAACACTTTCAGAAGAAGGTACTAAATTTATTCGTAAACATAAGTTACAATTTATTGATAATGAAGAATACCCTGTATCCTACTTTCACCACCTTTAGATTCCGAAAAATTCAAAAAAGCTCTTAAAAACGTGACATATGCAACTAATACGATTAAGAAAGAAGATCATGATATTTACACAAATTATTATTTAAATAAATGCACAGGTGTTGATAAAGTTTTTGATTTATTAGATAAAATATCAAAAGAAACCATTGGAACTATAAAATTTTGTGTGATTGTGGTTTCATTATTGAAGATACCAATAATGTTTCATATGAAAGAACAGCACCGAAGGAAGACGAAGTGGAAAGGTCTATACCATTCGTTATTAAGAATATAAAAGATATGAAAACGTATAAGCATTATATTTATTCATTTATTTCAGAAAAAATGGAAGCAACCCATAAAACATCTTCTCATCATTTTATAGCTATTCATACATTCCTTTTCAAAGTTGTGAAATTAAATAAGACAGGAATTAGATTTAATGTATCAGGGTACGCATTCTTGAGTAAATTAAAATGTATTCGTCACGTCGCAGATGATAAAAATTTATGTGTTCTTAATTCATTTTATGGGCTTTAAAAAATAAACTTTATTTTTATTTATTTTTTAATTTTTTATTCTTACATAAATGAACAAAAACGGAACAGCTAAAATGAATGATAATCAAATTAGAGCAGAAGGTAGAAGGTTATTTAAACGCTTCTATAACATTCCTGATGGTGTTAATCCTAAAACTCGTAGAAGCTATTTAAATGAAGCAATAGATGCATATGAAGGGTTTGACATTTCATCAGAAAGTGAGAGATTAGCGAGAATGTTAAATGTTAATATTGATTTCTATTATTGTGATCCTCAACCAGAAGACGTGGACATAAATAAGGTAGACTTTCCATTAGTGGAATCAATAATGATAGATCCAGAATTTGAAACAGTAAATATTTTATTAACACAGAGTCCATGTGGAAAACTTCACGCTGACAGAATAACAGACGTTGAAGCACTCACCGGCTATAAAGTTTGTCCATATTGTAAAGAAGAAGTTTATTCTATCCGTGATGATCCAGAAAGGAAAAACCAAAGAAGATTTTTAAAGCATTGTGAGAAATGTAAAGAAAATAATGGAAGATTAATTCAAGACGTTCATTGCAAAAGACACAGCAACCATATGCACCACATATTACGAAACAGAAGATATATCAGTGGTTATTAGCTCACAATTTGCAGAAATATTATAAACCGACAAGATATTATATTACTTTTGACTTTGAAACATTAGAGACTAAAGAAGAATTACAACTTTCTGAGTGTGCAACTTTGAACGCTTACTTAAAACCATTCATGGTATCATCAACGGTTAAATTAAACGATAAAACATATACGAGGAATTTTTGCTTAACTTCGAGTGATTCTTTTATTTCTGATTGGATTGAGTTTTTATTTTCAACCTGTTCATTAGTTGTTGAATCAAATATGACAATACAATGAATTATTGAAGTCGCAAACGGCGGGACTTTGTCCATACATTAAATGAAAAACAGAAGGAAGCATTTAAAGAACTTCTAGATGAGGAATTCAATAAAGTGAATATCATAGGTTTTAATTCGGGAAAGTTTGATTTAAATTTAATTCTTCGTGATTTAAACACTGCAAAATGGAAAATAAAATCAATGCTGGGTTCATCTTCACAATTTAAGCAAATCATTGTAAAGAAAACAAACGTTCCATATGAATTGAGATTTATTGACATCAGAAATTATATAGCGGGTGGGACATTAGACCAATTCACTCAAGATTTCGGAAACAATAAATCACGTGTTAAATCCTTTTTCCCTTATCAATTCATCACATGGGAATTACGAAGAAGAATTATATAAAGGAACCATTCACGAAAGATTCATTTTATTCAGCATTAACTCAAGAAACTATATCAGATAGTGATTATCAAATATATCTCAATGATGCTAAAAATTTTAAGAATAGATTAGAATATTTTATTCATTATTGCAATAAAGATGTTGAAATTATGATTGACCCAATCGATAAAATTATTGAAGAAACATTTGTTTATAAAATTGACATGCTTCATAATCTTTCTTTATCATCGAATGCTTCAATGATTCGTTACGCTTTAGCATATAAAGACTTTAATCCTAATGAAAAATATCCTGAGGAAGAGATAGAATCAAGTTTTGAATTAACGAAAAAGTATTGGAAATATAAAATTGAATCATATAAGAAACAAGATGAAAAAGCAGAAAGGGATACTAAAAATAATGTTTCAATGGATGATTTTCAATACTATCACGATTTAATCCTTTCATCTAAATGCAAAATGTGTGGTAAAGCGTTTACATATGCAAATAAACCAACATTGGATAGAATCGATAATGAAAAACCACATACCAAAGAAAATTGTCAGTTAATGTGTTGTTATTGCAATGTCGTAAAATCAAATAAAGATGAAGATGTTCAACGTTTAAGAATCAATTTAAGAAATTATGCATTAAAAAATAATTTACCAATGACTTTAGATTCAGTTGAAGCTTATCACATTCTCCGTAATGGAATTACTGGTGGTTTATCAAATGTTCAACATAGAGTAAATCTTAAAGGAATCACGCACATTAATAAACTTTCATATAATCCAGAAACTAAAACTGTATCAAATGAGGACACCACCAACATTATGACTCATTTCGTTGGTGTTGATTTTAATTCATTATATCCTTCATCATTTTCATCTAATCCTCATGATTTCATTCAATATACTGACCATAAAATGTATATGCCGGGAAGATTGAATGGTGTTATCATTTGTGATACAGCAACAAAGAAAGCAAAAGCACTGGGAATAATTAAGAAGAAAAATACTTTATTCGTGGCTGAAGTAAAGGGTCACATTGATGAAAAATACATTAATGATTACATAAACTTTTTACCGATAATAAGAAACTTAGATATTATCACAGATGAAAAAACAATTGGCAGTTTTATGTATAATTACATGAAATCAAACAATCTACCAGTTGACCAGAAACAGAGGAAATTAACTCAGTTAGCATCAACACACAACCAATATCAACCATTTTCTTCTTATTATCTTTGGTATCTAATAGACAGATTTCATTTTATCATTGATGACATTCAATCAATTTTAACATTTACTAAAAACACTTGTTTTAATGAATTTGCGAACAAATTTATGAACGAAAGACAAAAGGCTGAATTAGAAGGAAATAAAGGAAAAAGTTTATTTTGCAAGATTTCACTTAATGGATCATATGGTTACGATGCAATGAATACACAAAATTACGCAAAGACTAAAATAATGAATGCACAGAAGGCACGCGTTGCATGTATGTCAAATAAGTTTAAAAACATAAGAGAAATAGGTGAAGATACATATCAAGTGATGCTTAAAGATAGATTTTATAGATGTGATACATGTTTACAAGAGGCATTCTTCACTTTAGATAATGCTAAATACTGGTATTTGGTTTTCATTTATGATTTTATGTATAAATGCATGAATGTTAATCGTTTTCATTTCATTGAAGGTGATACTGATTCATCTTATTGGGCAATCGCTGGCGACCCAAATCTTCCTAACACTCAAGCATTTCAAGCAATTGTTACCGATAAACAATTTTATGATAAAAACATTTTCAAATTCGCACCATTTGATTTCTTCTGTTTTGATGAGAAATTTAAACCTAAATTAAAGAATAAAGCTGAAGAAAAAGCACATGAGAAGAAGTTATTGGGTTTAGCAATTGAGAAACAAGGTGATAACATGGTTGCTTTATGCCCTAAGTGTTATACATCATTCAACGGTTCAATTGATGGAAGTGATTTTAAAAAGATTGCACAAAAAATGAAAGGTGTTAGTTTACGACAAAATAAACAATTAACACCTAAAAATTATTTGGATATAATAAATGATAAAGTGATATTTGATGGTCAGAATATTAATTTACAACTTAAAAACGGGTCAATGACTCGCTTAACAATCGGTAAGACTGCATTAACAGGAGCACACACTAAGGCTGTATGTTGTGAAAATGGATGTTGTATGCCATTTATTTAATACAATTTAAAATTTTATTTTTAATAAAATGCCACAGAAGAGACAAAAGGAACCGTTAATGATGCGATTCAATATGTAAATAATGGTTTTGATACTATGATTCAAAGAGGTGGGCACCCTTAAACATTTATTTTATTTTTATATAAATGGATAACACAGATTTAAAAAATTTAATTGATGATTTAGTACTTAATCAAAATTTTCTTAATTATTATGAATTAAAATCATATCTCCAAAAACATAATAACAATATAACGGGTGATGATATGGATTATTATTATCCATATTATAAAAATGAAATTTTGAAATATCATGATAAAATAATTTCTAAAATTAAAGACAAAATTAAAAATAATGAATATACAAAGGGAAAAACTAAATCACAACTTAAACAATTGAAAGATTTCAAAAATAAAGTATTAACAGAAGAAGATATTGATGAATTATATAAATTATATAATCTGAGCCGCAAAAAACAAAGGAACAAAAACAAAAGGTGCAAAACGCCCAGGTCCTTCAGACCATAAATGAAGCACAAGCTTTAATTTATGATTCATTAGTTAAACCATATTCAGCCCGACTTTTAAATGAAGATCAACTTTTGGAATTCATCCTTCAACATAAACTCGAAGCGGGAAAGTATATCAAACCTTTATATACAGCATATTTAAAACAAATGAATAGAATACATCCAGAATTAATGAAGGGGGAATGAAATCCAAAATCAAAGCAGATAAAATTAAACCACTTGCAACACCAAAACCTCCAACGACAGTACCCCTCCTCCTTCAGTTAATCCTTCATCATTCACTTTATTATATCCATTTCAAACATTAAAGAAGCAAAAAGATTTTAAAAAGGATTTCAAGATATTAAATAAACCAATTGACCCGAAAATTCAACCGTTAAAGGAAAAATTTAGTCGCCCTTCATTTGCTCCATATCCATATTCATACGAAATCGATCATCTGGAATATTCAAAAGGAAACGTTACTTATTTATTTGCCATTAACATTAACACTAGATATTTATATTGCATTCCAGTGAAAGGGAAAACAGAACAGGAAACAAGAAGAGCTATACAATACTTACTAGATCATGAAAGAGTAGATAATATCAGGGGTGATGGTGATAAAGGATTTCAGGCAGCTATGGCTCATTATTTCCCACAAATTAATTTTTTCTTTTCATCCTCTCCATATACGTTTCATAATAAAATAGTTGATGCGGTAATGAGAACTCTTAGAGATGCGTTAGGGTTAACGGTCAGATATACTGGGATGGAAATCATGACTCCATCATACAACAGTTAGTATATTATTACAATAATACATGGCATAGAACTATAAACATGAAACCAGTGGAAATGAAAAATGATATTTCAAAAGAATGGGAATATATTAGAAAGCAAATGGAAAGGTTGAATGATGTTAAACGTGAACAAATTAATTCGGGGCTCATGAATTTTAAACAAGGGGATAAAGTTTTGATTCATCTCGATTATGGAAAAACTGATAAATCAATGACAAAAAGAAGACGAAGATTTGACACAATAGCTGAATTTGTTAGATATATTAACGGCAATGCATTAGTTGAAGTTGACAATAAATTAATAGAAATTCCGATTTATTTTATTACTCCATTATATTTAAATAATATTTAATTTTTTTATTTCGTAAGAAATGAGTGACAACAAAGCAGCCAAGAGTCCAGACAATGAATATAAAAAGAAACTAAACAGAATTAAATCAAAAATATGCTATTACAAAAAGAAGCCGCAATGCGGTGGGGCTGAAAACGATAAAGAGAGGAAAGAAATAATCGAAAAATTAGAAACTTACCGTTCAATCCTTAAACTGAGTGAAGCAAAAATAAAAGAATTTAATAGAATAAATAAATTGATTGGAAGAGATGAATTTAATAAAGATGAATTTTTAAACTCAATCCAAATTTAATTTTTATTCCTCTTCCCGAACCCTTCCGGGTTCTTCTCGGTTTTCGTGGTTTGTTGTTTTTAATTCGTTCTTGCATCATTTTTATCATTTCCTCCCTTGTTATGATTCGTGGTAAATTTTGAGCTTGTGGGGTATCCATTTATATAAAAATAAAATTTTGTTATCAGTTATTTCTGCAGTTCATCCATTACTTCATTACCTAATTAATTACAGACATAAAAATATATTTAGTTCATTCGGTAAGCCTTGATCCAAAGGTCTGGGCTCAAGCACATTCAATGAACGCGGTACCATGCGAATATAGTCACAAATGGTGGCATGTAATCTTTACCCAAGCCTGTTGGATTTGTTGTGAAAGTGTGTGAATGATTTCCTCCTGGTTCAGTTGGTCGAAAAATCTTTTTTGCTGCATTGTTATAAGATGGAGATAAAACATCATTGCCAGCTTTATATTCTGAGTTGTATAATGGGTGGTCTCTTAATGAGTGGCTATGGTCGCCAGAAAAGTTTGTCGTTCCTGTATGAGTGTGCGGTGGAAGGTTTGCTTCTTTAATTTTCTTCGAACCTCCTGTTTGCTTTGAATATCTAGCACAGTATAAGAATTTATCTACAATCTGCTTCCACGTACCAAAACCTAAAACTGTTGCTGGATTTGTTGAATTCATTGACGTATAAATAGAACCAACAGGATATAATGTTTGAAGTATTTCATTTTTCATGCTTGTAATCACATCATTTACTTCCGACTTCTTTGCATAATTTTCATCAACATAGGTTTTATCTGCTTTAAGGTCTAAACATCCTGAAACCCATCCTGTATCAGCTTTAACTTTAAAAGTCTCCGATGTCCATTCATGATACCATTCAACCTTTTCTTTAATTTCATTATCTTTTTCATCAACATAAGTTTTATCTGCTTTAAGGTCTAAACATCCTGAAACCCATCCTGTATCAGCTTTAACTTTAAAAGTCTCCGATGTCCATTCATGATACCATTCAACCTTTTCTTTAATTTCATTATCTTTTTCATCAACATAAACCAAATTTGCCTTCTTATTTAATTCACTATCCACATATTCCTTATCCACCTTCTTCATTATGTCGTTTAGGAAACCTTCTATGAATTCCTCATTTAAATTAAATCTTCCAATCTTCAAAACTTTAGGAAATGCATTTAATGCGTAATATCTCTGTTCTTCTGGTGGAATTGATGTTATATCATCCGTTATTCCTTTAATTTTTGAATTCATAAATAAAATTTCTTTTATATTTGATATCACTGCACCACCTTTGCAAACGAATTCGAAATGGTCATTTTTCAATACTATCTCCAAATCTCCATATTTCAACCTTTGCGTTTGTTCTGCCGTCTTTGAATTATATGCATATATGGCGTATGTAATGGTCTGAAGGACCTGGGCGCTTTGCGCCTTAAGTTGCTGTTGTTTAATCATTTATTACGATTTAAAAATAAATATTTAATCCGTTATCTCATCAGCTATTTTCTCTATTTGAAATTGCCATAATATTTCATTCATAAATTCTAAATCACAATCAAATAGGTCAGTTATTCTAAATTTAATATTTGATAAATCTTTTGAATGAAGAATAAATGAATTCCCGGATAATTGAAACGGATATGATAAAGAAAATGTGTTTAAGTTGATGGATAAAATGTTTTGTATTGATGGGTAAGAGTTAGGGTCTAATGTTTGATGTGAAAATCTCATTGGGGTATTAACTTTATCACATTTGATTAAAATGAAATTGGAACCAGTGTCAGAATACAAAACATCCCCAACATCTTTTTCAAAATTTAATATCCCCAACAATGAACGAAGATGAGGAGTACAAAATTTAATTTTCAGCGGGAATTTAATAAGGTTATTTATTTCATCAAGTTCAAAAAGTTTATCGGGTTTTGATTTAAAATTTTCTTCATACCATACGATAAATGATTCATTTAAATAACTTAAAATCATGTTAATATCCCATTTCGCTATCACATTATTTATATACATATCATACGTTTTTTCATGGTCATCTTTAATAAATGATATATAATCTGAAGGGTCTAAAAGAATGGGATTAAATTTACCACTCACAGAAACGAGAGTAACATTATAAATTCCGCTAACTGTTAAATTTAATTCACAGTATTATTCGAAATAATATTGATAATTGACATTTTTTATTACGATTAAAAATATGGTAAAGCGTTATTTTCCAGTGATAAATAAAACTAGAATAAGATTACCTCAAGAATTCATAAATTCAACGAATAAGAAATTCATTCATGTTATAAATTTTAGTGTTTTCAGAAAATATGAGTCAGTGTCATATTCATCAACAGGTTATATTTCACTTCATTCAAATTTAGTTCAATCAAACCCATATAATGACCATTTCATAAGATTTTCAGATGGTATTAAAAATGTAATTGATAGATTAAAATATGAACAGATTGACAATATCGAATTTTTGGAATTTTGGTTTAAATATCCCGATGGAAAAAAGATTGAAGTTAAAGATAAAGCTGATACTATAACAAAAACAATTACAATGACCGATCCGGATAGTGGGGAACAAAAAAAATAAAACAAACGATAGAAACTGGTGAAAGGTCAATTATTATTGATTATGATTCAAAGGATTATTATTCGATAATGTTAATGCTTGAATATTAAATAGCCTTAACAAAGAATTTTTCAAGTGATATTTTATATTCATCAACTATTTTATTATAAATATCATTATATGTTAAATGAAGTTCAGTTGTTGTTCCGTTCTTTGATATCTTAATTGTGCTAATATCCTTTATAGGATTTATTTTTGCAACTGTTCCGCAGCATGAAACCTCATCATCTATGAAAAATTGAATCTTAACGTCTGAATCTTGAACATCACAAAGAATGGCGATAATGTGAATTAATGATTCATAAGGTAAAATAATTAAACCGGATTGATCAATTAAATTTATTATTGAATCATAATTATTAATTATTATATCACGGTAAATTTTCATTAATTCAGAATTAATGTCTATTTTATATGGGTTCTCGATGTTTGATGAAAGAGGTGGGGGTATGTTGGATAAGTGGGAATTTCAACAGGTTCTTTACCGGGTTCAGATAAAATGATTGGGTCTCCATCTTCTTTATTTTGCTCCTCCTCCTTTTCGGTAAGTCACGAGTTAATAAATTTGGTTGAGTTGCTGACCTTGTTAATTCAGGGCTAACATTAACTTTAACATTTTGAATAATTCGTGATTTATCATCATTTACGTTATAACCAACCGTAATCTCTGCTTTTGCGTTAGTGTTCTTTTGACTAGTGAAACGTCTTCTCATTTATATTCGAATAAAAAAATATATTTAAACTTTTATTTTGCTGGAAGTTTTGAATCTATTATTCCCTGTATTTGTTCTTGAAGTTGATTTTTAGCTGGTTCATTGTAATTAATAGACCTAATATATTCATTAATTGCATTCTTATAATCATCTGATTTCTCAAATTTTCTTTTATCTGATTCCTTAACTAAATCATAAGTTAAACCTCGTTGCTGATATAATGGTTTCTTAATTAAATCTTTGAATGCTTGAGATAAAGCACCTGATGCAATTCTTGCTACTATAATTGGTTGGAATTGATGTTTAAGTTCATCTTTAACATTTGCGAAAACTGGATCGAATAAAGCAACTTTAAAGAATTTCTTAGCTGAAATTTCAGGTCTAATATTTGCATATTGACCATCAAACTGGTTAGAATATCGTGGTAATCCATCCGGTCCCTCTTCAATAGCATTTAATTCTTCATTGAAATAAGAATATGGATTATAACGGTATGAATTAATTGGACCATTTTCACCTTCTCCAATGTATTGTTTAACAGCTTTTCCATTTTCATCAAATTGCATAGGATAACGTTCATTATATGCTTTACGTTTAGGATAATCAGTTATAGTTAATTTGTAACCATTTATGACTTTAATATTACCTTGACCATCAGTAACGAAAACTTCATTTATACCATCAGGTTTTCCATTTGGACCCGTAATGTCTGCTTCGTGTGCTTCCCAATTTGGACCTTGACGTTTGGCATATGCTTGAGCTTCTGGTAATGTTAAAACGTTTCTCATTTGTTTAACATCTTTTTGAAGACCAGCAACAATATGAACTAATTCTTTCATTCCATCAGGAACTTTCATAGTTCTATTATATGCACCCTTTTTTTTGTTCCTTGTTTTAATGGAACCTGTAGAAGATTTGCCATTTCTGTCATGTTTAATTATAAATAAAAAATAAAAATTAATTATAAAAAGTTAATCAAATTTAACACTTCCTTTATTTAAATCAACTATTATTTTTCCATGTTCACCTAATTGCTGATATTGTGTGTAAAGTTCATTAATGCTCATTGGTAAATTCACTTGATAAAGCATAACGTTCAACTGTTGACGACTAAACCCACTGAAAATGAAAAGTGTTGATAGATTTGATTTAATGTTTGTGCTTAATGCTTTGAAATATTGAACAGCCATAAAGAATGAACACTGAATGTGTCGACATTGAGTTAATAACTGATTAAAATATGATTTCTCATTTGTTATTAGTTTTGATTTCACTGCATCATCTAGAAAAATGAGTGAATGCAAAAATTCTCTATCAAAATTTGAAATAGAAAGTGTTTCAAATAATTCATCCCGTTGTTTATCAATAATTTTATCCTCTAATCCTTGCTTCTTGATTGTATTATATAATTCTTTATACATTAAAAAGTTTTTTAAATAATCTTCTGCTTCTTCTTGTGATAAATAAATAATTGGAATTTTGATTAAATGCTTTAAAGATTCAAATGTATCATCTGAAGGTGAACCTGAACGGTTGATATAAATTAACACATGTGAATAGGGGGAAGTGTTAGCAATAATGATAATTTGTTTTAATATCGTTAATGTTTTACCTTTATTCTGTTTACCAATTGCTGCAGTGATTGAATTTAAGTAACATTCAGAATATGGAATTTTCATTAATTTTTCCTTAGATAGAGCATTTCTATTATCACTCAATGCTTCATTAATCATATCATCTACGTATGTATTATATACTCCCGCTAATTCTTCATAAGGAGTGGATGAATTTAAATCCATTTAATCAAAAATAAATTTATAATTTTAAACATTTCTATTCATCAATATTTCATCATATGAACTTCTATACTGTGGTGGTGTACCTGTTGGATGATATTTCAAACCTTCATCCGTGTCCATGTCCAATATGTAGTCCTAGTAAACCAAACCTGAGGAGGATTTGTCACTTTGAACAGTAAGTGTCATTTTCACCCTGAATGATTGGATAAGCTTTCACTTGTACTGTAACTTGTGAGTTGAAAGTTTCTAATCCATCAAAGAATATACCCGCTCCATCACGTTGAACTGGAATAGTGCATAAGAATGAAGTTTGGTCTTTCCATGTTCTAGCTAATGGCATGCCATCATCTGCATTCAGTGGTCTAGTTAATGAGTCCTCGTATTCTTCTGTGCATTCATTCACTCCATCTAAATCAGAAGCTTGAAGCATACGTGTAAAGAATATGTCGCCACTGTGGTCATCGCTTGATCGGGGAAGTTTCTGGAATCTATAGTGACCTGAAGACCTCGAAGCATTGGATTTTCTAAAACTGTTCTTTGCATTGCATTCTTCGGAAATGTTAACACAACATCTGTAACATTATGAAGAGCGTATGAGAAATCTGAGCTAATACCTTCAGGAGTGATGCAACCTCCATTTAGTGAACGAACGTCAATATGTTGAGCTGGAATCATGAATGGATCTTCCTTACTAAATAAACGTGGTATTGCTTTAACTGATTCTTCAATTAAACCGTATCCTGGTGTAATGCATTTATCCTCTAAAACTTCCATCTTTGTGCATGAAATAATAACGTCATCAACTGTTGCCTCAGCAGATGTAGCGGCTAAGCTTGTAATTAATTTGGTAGGAAGTCCGATTTGTTGGAATTTGCGATCATATTTATAAACATGATTCATAATCTTTTCATAATTTTCATCAGTTATCTTTTCATAAACGTAATTTTGTAAATCAGCAACTCTTAACGGGTCAACCTGACAAAATACTAAAGTATCCCTGAAAACATAATATTTAAGAATGATATCACCAAATGATTTAGGATAATCATCGAACGCCTGAAATGCTAACAAATCATTTACCGGAATAATCATATCAAAAGTGACATCAACTTCTTCATTTGCTTTCTTGAAAACTTCTGAAGGGTCAATATATTTACCACATACTGAGTTATCATATTTTGAACATTATTATATAACGAATGAACAAACTTTTTAACTTTCCTTTCTGATTTTGGTTTATATGTTGCAAATGCGAAAGATTCACGGGCGCAATCCATCTGAAGATAACCGGCATCACCTCTTTCGGTTTCTACTTCTAATTGTTTAAAGCTTTGATTTGATGATTTGTAACCAACGAATAAACGCATGCATTTAAAAGCGGCATCACATGTGAAAGCTTTATTTGAAACTAGAGTTGCTTTAACTTTGCGTTTAATATATGTGTCACCTAATTGGTTCACATCATGAGCCGGATTTGTAATTCTTAAATGAGTTTGTTTATCATCAAAATATGGAGCATCAGAGTCATAGCATGAACTTTCAAGTTCTCTATAATATCTTCTACCGTCATTCTTTGCGAATATTTCATTTATCTTTTCGAATGAATGAAACACATTTCCATTAATCGGTTTAGTGTTTGGCACCAAATAGTTAGTCGTCATTTATTAATAAATAAAAAATCAAAATTAAAAGATGAAAATGAATTTTTAATTTTAATGAAATAATCAACTATGGCTGCAGGTATATTTAAGAAACTGTGGGATAAAGTAAAAAGAGGAGCGAGTAAAGTTTGGGAAACATTGAAGAAGGGAGCAAATTGGATATTTAAGAATAAAGAAGCAATTAGTGACGTTGCTGAATCAATAACACCAAAAGCTGCCCCAATAAGAGAAGTTTTAAATAAAGGAGAAAAGTTTATCAAAGACTACAACCGATACTAAGATAAAAATAATTTAAAATAATTTATTTTTCCACTATCTACCTCCTATTTTATTAAGTATTCCTTCAGCTATTCCACCAATTGCGTTACCTGCTTGTGCTCCCATCGCCGGATTACCTGCTTTAGTACCTAATACTCCACCTATGATAGTTCCTGCCGTTTTCGCTACTGGTGCCAAAAAGTTTGCAATGGGTTTAATAATCTTTTTATGAACCCAACCCGCAGCTTTCTTAATTCCATCCCATAATTTTTTAAAGAATCCTGCCGCCATTTCTGATTTAATATTAATTAAAAAATATATTTCATCACTTATATTCTAATTTTTATTTAATGATAAATGAAACCGATTTTAAAAATAAATGAAACAGAGGAGGAAGAAATAAATGAAAGTGAAAATGTTCAACAAAAAAATAAACGTTGTTAAACCAATTACTGAAATAAAAATTTTTTCATCTGTTGAAGAATTTAATGACTATTATGCTAATAATAAAAAATTATTTGAAGAATTGACAACATGTAAATTGAATAAAATGTTTAAAGTTGATGGATTCAAAATTTCAAAAATAAAAGGGGGTGGTTAGTTTGAAATCTATTCCTCAATCAAGAATCACCTCATTAATGAAAATTGATGATTTAACAAAAAGAATAGAAGAGATTGAAGAAAGAATGAATCAAATAATTGATTTCATAAATTCAAATAATCATTAGTTTCTTAAAGTTCAATGTTGAACTCATCAAATTCTTCTTCATCATTACCATTACCTTTAGCGAGTTTATTTACTCTTTCAACTCTATCTTTTGATAGTCTTGCGTTTAATTTTTTCTGAAGTTTTTCGTTACCAAGTTCTAAAATTTTACATGGATGATATTTAAACCCGTTAAATTCTTTTTCCTCAGTTTTAATCATTAATCTACAAAAGAACTTTAGTGAGGTGGTTTTGTTGTTTAAACCATTTATCCTTAATATTTGTTATAAATTCAATATCCGGAATTAATTCCCAAATTTTTTGAATTTTCGATTAATTTACCATCAAATGCAAAAGCAATAGGTTTAATATTAAACTTACCTTTATAAAATAAACTTTGTACGCAATCATCAAAATAAACGTCTACTTGTTTAACCTGGGTGAGAATTGGTGAAAGTTTATTCATTAATTGATTTACAGTCACGAATTTTGATTCACTCATTTCATACAAAATAAAAAAATAAATTATTCAAAAATGTAAGACATGAATTTTTAAAGTTTATTTTTTATTCATGAAAATAATTATTTCTAATTTCTTTTACTCTCTCGTACATACTAGATTTGAAGAATTCGGAACTTTTACCATAATCTCCTAAATGTTTTCTTATCCCTAACGTGTGCCAGTTATTATATGAAACTGAATAAACTTTTTACACTTTCCATCACTCCAATATATTTATTCTCAGTTTTTGATTTAGCATTCATATTCATTAGCGTAATAAATTCACAAGTCTTCCTTTTTAAATAAATTTTTAAGTATCAGATTAAGAATTCTATAATATTGCTTCCTTAAATCTTGAAATAACACACCAATCTCTAAATTACCGATAATCATTTATCTGGTTTAACTTTGGTATTTATAAGAAAAATATTTTTAAATAATGTAATTTAAAATAACAATCTCAATATTGTTATGATTCTAGTTTACAAAAAAGTCACACACTCATCACACTTTCTTACATTTCTTATGAATGTAGTATATTATTAGTTTGTATATGTAAATCTATAAATGTTTGTTATATACAATTTTTCGAAAATATTTAATTCAAATTGAAATCAAATGGAGTAAGTTACAAATATAAAACATTCATAAATGATAAACAATATATTTTAAAATTCAATCTTACGCCAATTCTGGCAATCTCTTTAAGAACTAATAATCTTTGGTGCTTCTGTAGATTTTATATCACGAGATATCACAAGGTCAATTTGTTTTTGAAACATGATTTTCAGATTTTCGATGGCTTTCGTGGTGTTTCTCCATCATTATCATATAAGAAAACTGAGTAATCTAGAACTAAATTGCGGCCGAAGGGCTGTGTAATAGATCATCGGGTACATGGGCGAAGGAAAAAGAAGAGTTAAAAACTCAGTCAGGAAGAAAGTAAAGCTTGGTCCGTGGTTCTATTATGAACATATAAATCCAACTATTCTATATTTTTACTCATATGAATGTACGCCGCTCAGAATATAACGCCAACAGTTTTGGATGCTATGAATGGAAATGTTTTCCGAATGGTATAACGAATGCGACAATGCCATTAGAAGGTCAGAAATAGTTCCTGGAACTTACGAATATACAACTGCTGTTTCTTATGGAAACGTAGGTGAGTTTGGAGAAGGTTCTTCAAACAACAGTAGATATTGCTTGCGACAGGTTTCATATAATTTCTATTGACAACTCATTCTTATACGTGGAACAAGACATTGAAATAAAACCTTCTGCCAAGTTGTCTGACAAGAAAGGTTGCAATGGAATTTTCTATGTCGGATACCAATATGCTCAGAAGTTTTCATGGGATATAAGATATATTCTAACTCTGACTTAGTTCAAACAGTAACATGGGCAAACTATGAATGGTTCGCTTTGAGAAACTCAGTACAACCACAAGCTAGAGAACAAACAGACCAGTATGCAACTATTGAGAAAATAAGAAGACTTGACCCTAACGTTCCAGGAGTTTATGTTAACCTTTCTGGACAAACTGCAGCAGCAGTAACAAAGTAAAATTGAAACTTAGAGTTCCTTTGTCATCTTTCCTCATCTTCAGGTTTTTTAAGATACTTGCCAAACTGGGCAGGAAAAATTTCTATCGAACTTACTCCAGCAAAAATAATTAGTCATTGCACCAACACAAGACCCATTCACTCTTACAGAAGTAGTGGGAACAAATAAATGTCATTCGCCGACTTTTGCAAAAACAAAGTTGACTTAGACTTTGGTTTCTCAAACTCAACACTGAAGTAACTATTATTTCAATGCTGCTGGAGATGCTTGGACCCAGTTAAGTTCACATGCGAAAATTTGAATGCAAGAGAATAGAAAGCAGACTTGCAGTCTATATGTTGGACCCAGATATTTCAAATGCTTTAGCTGCCAAATATATTGCAGTTCCACTTATGTTCCCTATACACCAAATATCTGTCAAAGACTTTGCAGGTGAAGTTGGAAACCAAAGTGCTGACCCAGGTGCAAGAACAGATATTGCTTTACAACTGCAATGAAACATGCAGATACTATGTTTGTACTGTTCAGACGAACTATAAATGACTATTCTTGCTTCTACAACCCTGGTATTAAATATCATATAAACATAGATGGCAAATATTATCCAAGAGAAGAATATTCTACAGTTGAGGATATGAGGTCATACAACTTGACATTAGATGCTATGAACTTTAACAACAACTTCACAACAACCATTAACCCTGAAAATGCAAAGTTTCTATTATGCCATATGTGAAAGTAATGGACTCATACAGGAGCTCAAAAACTCAATATACAAATGGAGACCGTTCAAACTTTTGGCTTGGCATTCCATTTGCTGACTCAGAAGACTTTATGGGTGGTATTTCAACTGTTGGTACAGTTCAAATACAATATACTGGTGACAGAGACGGTCCAGATGAATTGAAAGCAAAGAAGTTTACAAAACCAATAGCACTTTTTCACGGAAGATGCTCTTTTGAAATTCGTTCGATGAAACCTGCTGGGGCTCTCAGATTGGTATAACGACAGCTTCCATCGAGCAGATTTTGGCAGCAGGTCAGTAAGTTGTTCTTGAACTGACTTCTCTCCGTCAAATATTGACAGTACGCCAGTTTTGACATAGTATTGTATTAAAAACTTACCTTAGAAATATCGGTCAGTTTTGTTGTTATATTTTTGTCAACGTCAAGAACTTTCAACCATTTTCAGTATACCAACTTTCTTTGCTTTATGAAAATATTTTGGTTCAGCAAAAGACTGCTTATCTATAACATTTTCCATTGTTTGTATAAAGAACTATTCTGTCAATGAACTATGTATTGTTTGTGTGTGTAAACTTTGTTTTGCTTCAATTCGAAGAGATACTCAAATACGTCCATCTTTTTATTCTAAGTAAAATGTCATTTCCGAAAAATAGAAGCGTAAGTGTTTCAAAAGGTTTAATGGCGGTGGCAGATGTGAAGTTAAATTCACCAACTCAAACAAACAGTCAAAGTGTTGTTGTCAATGTCAAAGAAAGAGATGTTGAAGTGGGGAAACCATACGAAGACGAAGATGGTATAACAATAGTTCCTGTAAAAGAACAACCAACATACCTGAAGTTAGCAGAGACTTAAGTTCTGTTGCAGATATTCGAAATGACTACCAACAACTTAAAGACAAACTTAAAACTCAGGAGAAGATTTGTCAAGCTTTGGGTATAATGTTAAACTTGGTCGAACACAACCCTGTAAAAGTGAACTCATATGTCATTGCACCTCATGAAGTTTTGAAAGAACTATTGAAACTTTTGACAGAGGCAGACGATATAAACATCAAAGAAATAGAACCCGACATTGCTTGCTGTGGTGTTTCATATAATGTCATTGACAAGATATACGTTATGAAAGGAGGTGAAACGTTGAACTTAAAATATAGTTTCCCAGACGTCATAAAAATATTTGACGACCACAACATTTCATTAAAATTTATTTGCTAAGTAAATGGCAGAAGACATAGTGGTTTATACTATTACGACTAAAAACCCTGAGTCATATAATTCTATAACAACAAACTTACAAAGTCCTCAAGGACGATATTGTAAACTAACCTTAAACACAATGACGACTAAAGCCTGTTTTGCTCTTTTGACACCAGAAGACTTTTTTGTTGTGAATGGTAAAAAATACTTCTTTGAAGATACTTACTCAGATATACCACCAACAGGTTTTGTTGACTTATTTAATACTTTAAGGACGGATGTAACATGTGCTGCAACTAGAGCAGGTTTCATTATGTTTGGATGTCCGACTGAGTTTACTATAAACGATATGAGCTATAATACAAAACTTATATCTGGTTTTTACTACCAACAGTTTCCTATAACAGGAAAAGGTGTCATACAAGGAATGTCTGTTCCATTGACTTTAAGTACACCTATTTTATATATTGTTTCAAACTTAGGTTCAAAGTGCTATTCGAATGTCGACAGAAACTACTATGACCAAAAGATACTCATGCGTATAAACAACACTTTCTCTGCTGGTTTGCCTATTGTTCATTCGAATGCAGAGTTTTCAGCTTTAGTAAACTCAAACACTTTAGCAAACATAAACTTAACCTTAGTTGACGCAAACTTTGTTCCTGTAAAACTTTTATGTCCTATGTATTTGTCAATGACGGCAGAAAGTTTCGAATTGGAAGATGCAACTGGTGAAAGTATTGTACTACAAGAACAACTTCAACAACAAATAGCTCAAGAACAACAAATGCAACAAATGGAACAAATGCAACAACAAAGTCAAGAATAAAAAAATATTTTTTTTTATTTTTATAAAAATGTACAGAATAGACGTTTCAGATTTTTATGACTTCCAAGCGTTCAGAAATATGTGTCCATTTCGAGACTATAACAAAGCAGTCGAGAATTTGAAACGTTTAGTCATTTATGTCGACTCTGCCCCAGAATGTTATGTCATGAAAGAATGGGATGTTGTCTTTAACAAACCAAGAGCAACAATAGTTTCAGAACAAGAATGTAGACAGAAACTTAAGAAAATAAAAGTCGTACAAGTTGGCATGAAGATGTTAGATGCTTGGGATATCTTATTGTCAAAGTTAGAAGATTTTTCAGTTCGAGGTATAAAGTTCTATACACCTTCTCCAAACTTCTATTCTATCTTCACTGGATATAAATATGAACAAGTAGAATGGAAAGAAAATATTATAGAAGCTTGGTTAGACCATGTCAAAGAAATTATATGCAATGGAAACGAAAGAGTCTATGAGTATATCTTATGTTGTTTGCAAACATCTTACAACATCCAAGTGCTAAAAATGAAACTGCTCTCATCATAATTGGAAAACAAGGAACTGGTAAGAACACTTTCTTTACAGATATCTTATGCAAACTGTTAGAAGGTTATTCGAATCCGAATATGACAAACTTAGAAAAACATCTGCGGTAAATTTAACTTCAATAGAGAATATGAAACTTATAGTATGTAACGAAACTTCAAAGTATAGATACAACAAAAGGTTTTAAACTCAGATGCTTTGAAGAGTCTTATAACAGACAAAGAGTTGTTGAAAGAAAATATAAAGACCAAAGAGTTTGTGAAAATGTTTGCAAATTTCATCATGGTTTCAAACAACGCCGTTCGATGAAGTTAGAAAGTTCTGACAGAAGATATGTAGTTGTCAGAACGTCAGATTCTCATATGCAAGATACAGAATATTTTGACGACTTAGCAGAAACTTTGACACCTAACTTTTACAACCACTTGTTCTCATATTTCATGACATTAGATATTTCAAAGTTCAATCCAAGACAAATTCCACATACCGAAGAAAGACAAACATTGTTAGAAGCAAACAAGAGTGTATATGAACTGTTCATAGATGAGACTAACTTTGTGTCATTAGATGAAAGGTCATTGTACGATTCATATAAACAGTATTGTCAAGAGTATGGTTATATGCCAGCGTCTAAACGAACATTCTTGGCAAATGTCAAAAGCCTTTTAGACATACAGAACGGCGTATATACAAAGAAAAATTTTTCTGAGTAAATTTAAAAAAAATATTTTTTTATCCGATAGAAAAGATGACGAAATATATTTCAGTCAACAAGTACATGACAGAAGTCAAAGATAAGTTAGCTCCATTCGCATATTTGAATGTTTACTTCTACCATTTTGAAAAGTCTTCATTCAGCAAAGTTTGGAACATCGAACCGGTTAAGTTTGCTATTGTGACTAAAAATGGTGCGAAATTTGAAGACTTAGACATAGAAGGTTTGTTAGCAGTCAAAGAAAATTTTGACAGAAGGTTCTCAAACCTTAAAGAAGGCAAAGCATACAAACTTGTTATACCTTATGAACCAAAGAAAGCAGACGACTATGAATATTATGAGTCTAAGATAGTTGAAGTTCAAGGTAAATTGGGTAAAAAGATTTTAGAGTCTAAGCCAGTGTTTGCTCCTAAAGAGGAAGAGAACATTGACATTGACCCAGAAATGTTCTAAAAATAAAATTTTATTTTTACATGTCAAATTTCTTTTTCTCTGGTTCAGGTTCTTTCTTCTCTTCTTCTACTTTCTTTTCTTTCTTTTCTCTCTTCTTCTTCTTCTCTGGTGGAGTTATGTCAAATTTCTCAGAACCATATTTATGTAAAAGTTCTTTGTCCTTTAATAGCTCTTCTATTCTGTTTTCTATTTCATCTTCAAGAACAGCGCATGTGCCTTCTTTGCATTCTAAGAACTTTTGTTGGACTTCATCTTTCCAATCGGCGTCATCTCTGTCAACAAGTCTGTCATTGACAAATTTTAAGACTGCTCTGCTTAATGTTTTATGGTTCTTGTCATATTCCCAGAAACAGAACTTTAGAACAAATTCACCTTTCTTGTTTACACTATGTAAGATTTTATGGTCGACAGATGTTTTGCTGTCAAAAAGCTTGTCTCGAATATAGATAGCGAAATCGCTAGACATTTTCTAAAAGATAAAAATTTTAATTTTTCTAAAAATATGTTAGAAAAAAAGTTTGCTGACATTGACAAGAAATTTGAGAATGTTTTAAACAAGAACAAGAGGAAGTTAGAAAATGCTCAGATAAAACCTATACATGACAAGTTCTTATTTGCTCAGAATGGTATAACAGGTCTAATCGCACCACCTGGGTCGGGTAAGACTTTCACTTATCTTAAAATGGCTGCACAACAACAAGAACTAGATGAGAAGAACCCATTCTATGAGTTAGTAGTCATTTGTAGTACTTCTGGTCAATTTGACCAAACCGTCAATTCGTTCAAAGATATTATAAAGAAGTCTAAGTTAGTATGTATAAAAGACTCTGAGTTGTTAGATTGGATAAAGAAGTACCAAAGAAGAGTTTTGAAGTACAATGCTATAAATGAGTATATAAACTCGAAGTTTAAAGACCCAAATGAGGAAATGCAGAGAATATTAGAGAAGAAACACTTCAGAAACAAACAGAAAGAGATAGAATACATTTCGAAGAAATTGCAATCTTACGATTGGAAGACATACCCTCATAGATGTCTTCTTATCTTAGATGACTTTGCTTCTCATCCTTTGTTAAAGAACAGAGAACAAGATATGTGTCGAATTCTCAAGAAGCTCAGACACTTTAACATCTCAGTTGTCATTTGTGTACAGACAGCAAAGAGTTTAAGTAAGGATGTTAAAAGAATACTTACTGATATCATACTTTTCCCTGGATTGTCCGAAGACGATTTCATGGAACTTATGAAAGAGTCCATGGCAGGTAAGTTTGACAGACATGAACTATGGGAGAAGTACAAAGTCATACAAGACCCTCATACTTCTTTCAGAATTCACATCTACGCGAACAAAGTTCAAATTGTAAAAAGTCAAGCTTGAAAAATGTAAGTGTTTAGTCTTAGTCTGTTGTGGTGCTGGGGCTGTCGGTTCTTCTGGCTTTGGAAGACATTCAGGAAGAGGAACGTCAGTCCTCCGTTTGTGTCCTGTCGGAAGGAAGAACTTTTTCTGTCGGAAGGAAAAAATTTTCCTGTCGGATGGAAAAAATTTTCCTGTCGGATGGAAAAAAGTTCTCAATTTTCGAAAATTTGAATGGTTTACGGACGAACAACAGGAAAAATTTTTCCAGTTGTCGGGAAATTTTTTTCCAGTTGTCGGGAAATTTTTTTCTTGTCGGAAGGAAATTTTTTTCCTGTTGGAAGGAAGGACTCGGAATGCCAGAAGGATTTGACAAGACAATTTACCTTATAGAGCTACCTGAGCCATCTTTGGTGTCAAGCTTGAAAAATAAATGGTTCATTTACTCTGCTTGTTTGAAGTTGTCAAAATACTCTGTTATCTTTTCTTTCAGTAATGGCAAATCTTCTTTGAATGTAAGTATTGTACAACCTTTCATATCATAGTGTGTTTGAGGTAAAGTATCTTGAACTATTTGTTTCACATCTTCATTCGGTGTCATTGAAATCGGTAAGTTTTCGCGATAAACCAATTTCTGTCAGATTTGTAAATCTTAGCAAGGTCGTAAAAGCTTTTGTTGTTTCTTCTGACTAAATGCAACATAACCATATCTCTGTCTTCTTCATTTTCCATCTCTTCAGTGTAAATCATATACTTAT